TAATAACATTAAAGAACATTGCCGATAGTTTCCACATGTCAATTATTTCTTTAAAAAATTATAAATTACTTTTCTAGAATTATAAATATTTTAAAAGAGTACAACTAGATACATTTATATTGACGCCTCACCCCCTCTGCATTTATCTTGTGCTTACCCTGATGTGTCACCTGAGTGCCAGGCTGGTTTATTGGGCCAAATGTTCAAGAGAGAGAGTAGAGGATAACTCTGTCAATAGGACACACCAGTGGCGTAGTGAGGTCGGGTGTCACCCGGTGCGGCACTTAATGGTGTCACCCCCCCCCCCAGAGGCGTAGCGACCCTTCACGGGGACAAACTTTCAAATTTTCGATTTGCCCCCCCCCTTCAAATTTTCGATTTGCTCCCTCCCCCCCCCCCCCCCCTCAAACTTTCGATTTGTACCCCCCACCCCTCTCGAACTTTCGATTTGCACCCACCCCCCTCAAGTTTTTCTCTATATATTTTACTATTTTTTGCCTTGGTGTCACCCCCCTAAATGGTGTCACCCGGTGCGGTCCGCAACCCCCCCCCCGCCTCTGGGACACACACATGTACCTGGTTCATGTCAGGGAATCAAAGTTTAGGCAAAATGTTGTCCACACTCTCTTTAGTAAAAGTCTAGGTTCTCTTTCTTAACCTGAATGTACATCGGGCAAGTGAAGTAGAGTTCACCTGTTTCTGAGACCTCGGCAAATGAAGGGATAGTGTCGTTAGCACATGATGTAGTGCTAATGAAAGTCAGGTACCCATCAAAGCTGATTGGACTCAGGGACGTTCTACCAACTTACACCCGGATTCGAACTCGGGACTATCGGGTTAGCAGTGTCACGCTCTTTAGCAGGGACACGATGTCCCACCGTTTGTTAAAATGTGTAAGATACTTTATGAATGACCAATGCATATATTAAAACAACCAAGATTGTTTTATATTTTTAGCGCAATTTCCATTCTGGAGAATTGCGTTTATTAACCCGTCATTTCTGGATGTATGAATGTATGAATGTATGAATGGATGTGTGTCCGCAGCTTTAAGTCGTATCTCCTCCTCAACGAAGCAATATCGAGGACTAGTTCCAAAGCAATTATGTTAAGCAAGTTACGAGGATGAACATAGGCCAAAAAAATTCCGCGTTTCTTTCATGGACTTCCCGGAAAAGCCAAAAAACCTCGAAAAAATGCAGTTTTTGGCCCATATCTCGGCAAGCAGACCACTTAGCGACTTGAAACATTTACCAATCGATTCCTGCCATAATTTAGAACAATATTGCCGAAGAAAGTTTTCAAAAATATCCATTCGTTCGGTCACAAAAAATTTTTTGAATTAATTAAAATTTGGACCGAATTAGTAGGCATATTTATCCAACCACACCACACGCGTCATCACGTTCAATAGCTGCGCCATCACGTTCAATGGCTGCGTCATCACGTTCAGTAGCTAGGCGCGCAATGGTTTTTAGTCATGTAACTCTATTGTAAATAAAACATGTAAAATACTGAATTTTTTTTTAATAAAAAACGTTTTAATAACTAACCAATGGTTTTACTAACCCTGCTCTTGATTTACGCTACGACAGAGCTATTTTTAGATAACATAAGGAAATTGCGCTAAAATTGTCACTAGACTTTTTAATTACCTTGTTTATGTTAGTGCATTGTTATATTAACAGCTGATGATGTTCAGGGTAAGGCCGTCTTCTACATCAAGCCTCAGCTGTATACGTTTCCAGCAAGTCTCCGTTCGCGCAAGATCCACAATCGAATACAGCGGATACAGTGGATAATAAGTAGAGATAATCACAACATTTTAATGCTGTACGTGTGTACCATACATGACGCTGACTTATGATCACCCTCAAGGATTATCCTCACCCTTAAGGTCTTATCCTCATCATCAAGGATTATTCTCACCCTTAAGGTCTTATCCTCATCATCAAGGATTATCATCACTCTCAAGGTCTTATCCTTATCATCAAGGATTATCACCCTCAAGGTCTTATCCTCACCCTCATCAAGTCGACTGCCAGCAACATCCCTATCCTAATATTTCTCACGTCGACTGCCTTCAACATCCCTATCCCAATATTTAATACGTCGACTGCCTTCAACATCCCTATCCCAATATTTCACATGTCGCCTGCAAGCAACATCCCTATCCCAATATTTCACACGTAACCTGCCAGCAACATCCCTATCCCAATATTTCACACGTCACCTGCCAACAACATCCCTATCCCAATATTTCACACGTCACCTGCCAGCAACATCCCTATCCCAATATTTCACACGTCACCTGCCAGCAACATCCCTATCCCAATATTTCACACGTCACCTGCCAGCAACATCCCTATGCCAATATTTCACACGTCACCTGCCAGCAACATCCCTATCCCAATATTTCACACGTCGACTGCCAGCAACATCCCTATCCCAATATTTCACACGTCACCTGCCAGCAACATCCCTATCCCAATACTTCACATGTCGCTTGCTAGAACACTGTGTGGGTGTGTTATGGGCGATCCTTTGCTTCCTATGATATGGGGCAAGTGTCTCCTGATCTGGTAACTTTAAAACTTTTCAGTGTCAATGTCTCATTGGTAGATCGATAAAGTGTAAATCTGAATTTTCAACAAAAACGCCAATGAAAGCTCTAACTGAAGCCAGTGCTGACACTGACCAAAGCCCAAACGCTAAGCCCCCTGCCAATGTGATGAGTGAGATTTTAGCAATTGTTGCTAATTATAACCCTTGAAAAAGATGGTCTTACACCTCTCCACCTTTCGTCAACAGTTTATTTAACTCAAATTACACCATCCATTATTAAAACCGTGGCGTAGCAATCAGTGCCGTAGGCAGGGAGGGGGGGTCGTAACCCCCCCCCCCCTCCATAGACCCCTCGGTATATATATAAAGAATGAGGGGGGTGCAAATCGAAAGTTTGAGGGGGTGTGCAAATCGAAAGTTTGAGGGTGGGGGGTTGCAAATCGAAAGTTTGTCCCCGGGTAAAAATTGGAACCCCCCCCCCCCTTGAGACGATCCTGGCTACGCCACTGGTAGCAATCCAAAACCCTCACTAAACTTTACCCTTATAATCGTACTATACACTAAACCTTAATATTACCTTTACATTTGACCTAGCTGATTTTATTTTTATTGTATTTTTTTTTCCTGAGACATGTAATTTATAGCGTCAGTTTACATTGCCATGTTCGCTTTATTATAAATTTTCATCCTATGCTTTACAATAGTAATACTTCTTTCTGACGTGTACTTTCATTCATTTAAGATGGTTTACTTATACATAATTCAAAACGTCTAATTACAGTTTCACTTTTTAAACCTGAAAATGCAAATGTGTAAATAAATGGTAGTTCAGCGATGTAGGTATTTTCATAATTTTTATTCCCTTCTTTTCTCTTTTCTTTCATTTTAGTGGGATGGGTTGATGGGTTATGGGCTTGCAAGTGGAGCTAAAATAAATTAAGGGCCTTAACTGACCTAATTTGTAATGAGAAGAATATATATTCGATGTATCGTGTTAATGGTGCTGCAGTGATGTAAAATGGAAATTTTTATTATTTTAGAAAATATTTATATTAATAAACTAATACCTATATATTAAAACTACGGTAAATTTAAAAAAAATAAAAAATAAAAAAAATCATATTTTTAAAAGCCATAGACATATCTTAATTTTTTTCATTAAAAAGTTATAAAACATAAGTATAATGATAATAATCAAACTCACTGTACTATTTTGACGAAAACTTGTACAAAATTTGATATTATTTCCCTTTTTTTTCTATTATTTAAATAATGGGAGATAACTAACACATTTTCATATTCAACGCTAAAATAATTTCCACTTCATACACATGAATTAGTAAAAATTCTTTAGATGTATTTGGTCTTGTCTCTACTTCATACTTTCTTTTTAATTAGGTGGTATCGTATAGAATGTGATTGTTGCACCTCACAGCATTTGGTCCACAATAGGGAAAATAGTTAATTCTTCAAAAACGTATTTTTAAAAAGAAATCAGGCAAGCATAGGAATCAGCTTTGAGATAACAGTGTGTAAATGAAAATAAAACACCACATTTTATTATGAATGATAGCTTGTGTCAGCACAATTACTAAAATTATCTATGATTAGTCGTGGATGCCTTGTTTGCAAGAAGAAGAGCATTCTAAATATAGTTTTACTATATGCCCCATCATGGAAAGCACTTTTATAAAGTTATTTTATTTTCATTGTTGTATGAAAATACAAAAACAGAACATACAAAATGCTATTCAAGTGTATACTAATTTTTTTAATTATATAAAATAAATTACAATAACTGTATAAAGAAGAGTAAAAATGTATTTTTCTCAGCTACGTTATAGCATCATGATTTCAACACAATATTTAATACCTTTTACCATAGAACTAATTTAAGCACCTACTTTACTGCCGTTTACCATAGAATCATTATTTCAACACCATCTTCAATATCGTTTACCATAGAATCATTTTTTTTTATTGCTCTCGGTCATATTTTAAGAAAAAATAGAAATGCTAGACCAAGCAAACTTTCACATAAGGGGTCATCCATAAATAACGTCACGCTTTTTTTGACGATTTTTACCTCCCCCCCCTCCCCTCCGTCACACATCGTCACAAAAAGCCAGACCCCCACCCCTAAAATGACGTCACACCTCAGCCTACAACCCCCCTCAAAATCGCAGTTTAGTTTTTTCTTATAACATAGATATTTTTCCTAAAATTTAGTCTGAACTATGTCAATATAGAGTATTTTAATAAATTCATATTGCAATTTATTAAAAACAGTTTTCTAAAATGCGAAATAGCGTCTTAAATTAGTTTTTAACATTGGTTTTTTATAATGCAAAAGTGTGACGTCGCACCATCTGAATTCCCCCCTCCCCCTCATCACACACCGCCACAAAATTACTGACCCCCCCCCTCTCCCCCCTTCGAGTGTGACGTCATTTATGGACGACCCCTAATATAAACAGCATCACACTTCTACACATCGTATTGTTTTATTTTGGACGATTTGTGAGAAAAATATTTTTTTAAAAACTGCACGTCCCTGGTGGTTCATAGTGTGCATGGCTAAATAACAAACGAATATAAAATTTTATAACAACTAAGTCAAACATATACACATATACGAATAAACGTTAAACACTATGAAACGTTCAAGCTCCATGATAAATAAAGCTAAGAAGGTCTGTGAGAAAACGAACGAATCTAAGAAGGTCTTTGATTTAAATAAACGAAAGTATATGACAAAACAAACGAAACTAAGAAGGTCTATGATAAAAAAAACGAAGTTCTATGACAAAAACACACGCAGCTTAGTAGGTCTATGACAAAAAAATAAACAAATGTCTATGACAAAAACAAACGAATATTTATGACTCAAACGAAGCTAAGAAGGTCTATAACACAAACGAAGCTAAGAAGGTCTATAACACAAACGAAGCTAAGAAGGTCTATAACACAAACGAAGCTAAGAAGGTCTATAACACAAACGAAGCTAAGAAGGTCTATAACACAAACGAAGCTAAGAAGGTCTATTACACAAACGAAGCTAAGAAAATCTATAACACAAACGAAGCTAAGAAAGTCTATAATACAAACGAAGCTAAGTAGGTCTATTACACAAACGAAGCTAAGAAGGTCTATAACACATAGAAGCTAAGAAGTTCTATAACACAAACGAAGCTAAGAAGGTCTATGATAAACTGGTCTCTGCCGTCTCCTCAGACTTTAAAGCTTCCATCGACGAGTCCCGCCCCCTCCTGACCCTCTTGATTACGAAGACAGCGATGAACCCCAAACACAGGCCTGCCAGTAACATCCCGATCCCAATACCTGCCATGGCGCCTGCAATAACAGGGGATATGTTATAGGGGGTCAGCGTAATATCCATATATATATATATATATATATAATATATATATATATATATATATATATATATATATATATATATATATATATATATATATATATATATATATATATATTCCAGTGGCGTTTTTTAGGTCAGGTGTCACCTGGTGCGGCACCTAGAAATAAAACGTTGGTGTCACTCCCCCCCCCCCCCCACCCCCTTTTTGTCTAAACTTAGCTTGGATAATAGTAATAAGTGTTTATCTTGATGTAGTATGATCTTTATATATATAATTATATATATATATATATATATATATATATATATATATATATATATATATATATATATATATATATATACGTTAGTGTCACCATTTAAGACAGGTTTGTAGAGGGATAAAACCGCAGTGGCATTATACAAGTTCATTAACCCATGTAATATCATCCATAGGAGTTACCCCAAGCGAACTGATCAAAGGGAAATAATCAAGTAATGCCATCGACTCCTTACCACTGGAGTATCCCTCAGAGTGATAGTAGTAAGTGCTAAAACTGTATTCTTTAGCGCTGTAGATGTCAGCCCGATGTTGTGGATATCTCTCCATGTTATCCACTGTATCCGAACTAACGGATTGTGGATCTTGCGCGAACGGAGACTTGCTGGAAATGAGTCCGGTTGAGCCTGGCTTAGCGTAGATGACGGCGTTTCCCTGTACACAATTAGCCGTTAAAATATTTTTTTTAAACCCAATTAGGTTCTCAGAACAAGACTTCAGAGAGTGGAAGATATTAATCGAGTTTTTCTCTGCCTATTCAAGATTATTGCCAAGATTTGGATTAGGGTTAAAGTTTTAGACATTGGTAGGATCACAACTCTCTCTCACACACACATCCACGCAATGTCAGGTTATTTTTGCTAGTGATTTATTACGTCCCTTGTACTGTGTAAATTATGGTAACGTCCCTTGATGGTTTACTGTGTAGCTGATGTGTACCTGTAAGTTAGTTAACCACAGATAGACCGAGAGACAAGACATGTCGCCTTTGCTGTCTATTATAATAAAGTATCAAGGTTAGCTGGGGGAACTGAGTCTGTTGAAGTAATGTAACAACACACACACACGCATGCACACACACGCGCACACACACGAACACATACACAACACACACAACACACACACACAACACACACAACACACAACAAAACACAGACAACACACGCACAACACACACATACATACACACAACACACACGCCACCTACCGTCTCCCCCACATTGATGTAGAACTGGTTGGCGTCGACCGCTGAGACGATCTCCTGGTACACTTGCTGGCTGGGTGCCATGGCGAAGGTGTTAGCGACGTCGCCTTTTACGTTGGGCTTGTCCAGCAGCTTGAAGCGAACCAAGATCGTATTGTCGTTGGCAGGTTGGACCTACAGGACGATGGTTGTGAGGGTTGTGTGAGTGGGTTGAGGCTGACTTGATCCACTAGCATGCATAGGCTGCCGCTATCACTACCATAACCAGCCATTACACATCACAACAATACAACATATAATCACTCGGCAAAATCTTCTTCTTCGTTCTTAATTTTAGTTTTGAAATGGATACTCTCCAACACAATTAAATATGCGTGTCAACTGGTTATGCGCCAATGAGGCTATTGACTCCGATTTCAGCCTGCTTTTCTTTTTAAATTTGCTTCCATAACCTTTGCCCTACCAAGAACAAACTACAAGGCAACAGTTGTTTGATTTTGGAGTTGTCTTTCCTAGAAGAGTTGCTGTCCCAAGCTAACGAGCCTCATCTGCCCGAGTGTTCGAACTCGAGACTTTTCGGTTTAGAAGACTATTGTTTTCTTCTTCAAGTCTTTATTTAACTACTCGCCTTCTCTATTCCGTTACAATTGTCCTTGATATACTCCTCACACTGAGAACATCACACACTCCCTTCCAAGCCCGAACTACCTAGTTTCTTATACGTCAGTTTCTTTCATCCGCCTCATCCATCCTTACATTCCATGCATCTCTCGCAACAACATTCATTCGTACCAAATTATTTTGATCAAACACACAGTTTACTATTTCTTTTAGTAGTTTTTTAGCTCTATATTTGAAGATTCTCTTTTTAAAATTAGTAACCATTATTGGTGGGACGGAGTGGTCTAGCGGTAGGGAGCTGGACTGCTCACCCGTAAGTTCCGGGTTCAAGTCAGTAGATCGTCCTTTTAACCACCCAACTCTGATGCATAGTGCTGACTACACTACCTCTTCATATGCCGAGGTCATAGAAACAAGTGAACTCTACTTCACTTGCCCCATAGACCGTCAGGTTTGAAAGAGAAACTTTACTTATTAACCATTACCGCTGTCTTTAAATAAGGCAAAACAAAAAATCAACCTACGTCAAGGTCAGCGACCCTCAGCATGGACTTGAGACCCGTGACCCGCACCAGACCCGCAAGGAAACTCTGCTTGAACCCTGCCTTGTATGGGGTGTAGTACTGGTCAAACCGAGCTTGGTCACGTGACAAAAAATAAATTGTCAGTTATAGTTAAAAATTTGGACGCATATTTCTGAAATAAAATACTTTTTAAAAAAACAACAACTTTTCTTTCCGATATCAAAAGTATTGTTTGTTAAATGAATAGAATTGTGTGAATCCTATACATTTTGCAGTGGTGTTTTTTTCAGACTTTTTTCTCGGGGGTGGGGGGGGGGGGACTTAATTTTCTGGGGGGGGGGGGGGTGGACGGGTAAAAGTGTATATTTTCTATATACATTTATTTGTTTGGGGGGGGGGTAGACGTTAGACGTTTTTCGGGAGGGGAGGGGGGTGAAGAGATGCCTGAAAGAAACTCTGTTTTACACCTACATGACACCTTTGTTACACCTACATCACACCTTTACACTAGCCCCTTAGTGCCACCCCCCACCCCATAGCGCCACCCCCCCACACCATAGCGCCACCCCCATCCCATAGCGCCACCCCCACCCTAAACCCTAGCACTAGCCCCATAGCGCCACCCCCACCCTAAACCCTAGCACTAGCCCCATAGCGCCACCCCCCACCCTAAACCCTAGCACTATCCCCATAACACCACCCCCCACCTAAACCCTAGCACTAGCCCCTTAGTGCCACCCCCATCCCATAGCGCCACCCCCACCTAAACCCTAGCACTAGCCCCATAGCGCCACCCCCCACCTAAACACTAACCCCATAGTGCCACCCCCACCCCTTAGCGCCACCCCCACCCCTTAGCGCCACCCCCACCCCATAGCGCCACCCCCACCCCCACCTAAACCCTAACACTAGCCCCTTAACGCCACCCCCACCCCATAGCGCCACCCCCACCTAAACCCTAACACTGGCCCAATAGCGCCCCCCCCCCCCCACCTGAACCCTAGCACTAATCTTACCATTGAAATACACCTCAATATTCATCTCCTGAGTGACGTTAAAGCAGGCAGACAGATCGGGGTAATCCCTACCTAGGCTTGTGGTCCACTCAAACAGATTAAACTGGATGAACGTCTGAAAAAACACAAGTCTTACGGTCATAGAAATTGTGGATATAGTCCAGATTAGTCAGGCCAAAATGTTAACAAAAAAAACAAGAATTATAAATTTTAAAAAGGGGATATGAAACCTGTACTTTTAGATTTTATTGAAGAGGGTGTAAATTGGGACATGTTATTAATTTGCATGAAAAAAATGTGTATTATAGTACCTTTAACCCTAGCCCGAACCCAATCTTAACCTAACCCTCAAGGTTGCGTTCGTGTATTAAATTGGAGCTGGCAAAACGTGGCCGGGGCTAAAGTTGTCGAGCTTTGTTTTTTTTTTTTTGCATTAGGGGTCATCCATAAAAGACGTCACGCTTTTTTTGACGATTTTTACCTCCCCCCCCCCCCTCCCCTCCGTCACAAAAAGCCAGACCCCCCTCCCCCTAAAATAACGTCACACCTCTGCCTACAACCCCCCCTCAAAATTGCAGTTGAATTTTTTTTAAAACATCGATATTTTTCCAAAATCTTGTCTGAACTCTGTCAAAATAGAGTACTTTGATCAATTCCTATTAAAATTGATTAAAAGATTTTTCTAAAACGCGAAATAACGTCAAAAATACGTTTTCTAACATTGCTTTTCTATAATGCAAAAGTGTGACGTCGCACCATCTGAACTCCCCCCCCCCCCTCCCCATCATCACACACAGTCACAAAATTACGGACCCCCCTCCCCCCTACGAGTGTGACGTCATTTATAGACGACCCCTTAGTGAACCTAAATTATCACACACAATCTTTAAGAAATAAAAGAAATAAAAAATTGATGGACGGTTTGGACTTTTGTCTATATTAGACACTCATTACAAAATGGACAATGACATTTTAAAAATAAAAAGTTCGACAAAAACATTTTTATTAAAAACAAAACACCAGAAACACTAAAACAAATTAACTAAACGAAAAGCAAAATAGTGAGAAAATAAATTACTAAAAATAGCAGTAAAAAAAAAGTTCAACAAAAATGTGTACTGACGTTTTGTTGTCTCAACTCTAGCGCCACTGGCATAACAAACACGGTCGTGTATCCTTGTGACTTCATCCAATCTGACTGCAGGGGAAGTATGAAGATAAATTAGTAGAAAGATAATGTAGAGAGATAAAGTAGAGAGATAAAGTAGAAAGATAAAGTAGAAAGATAAAGTAGAAAGTAGAAAGATAAAGTAGAAAGATAAAGTAGAAAGTAGAAAGATAAAGTAGAGAGATAAAGTAGAGAGATAAAGTAGAGAGATAAAGTAGAAAGATAAAGTAGAGAGATAAGGTAGAAAGATAAAGTAGAAAGATAAAGTAGAAAGTAGAAAGATAAAGTAGAAAGATAAAGTAGAAAGTAGAAAGATAAAGTAGAGAGATAAAGTAGAGAGATAAAGTAGAGAGATAAAGTAGAAAGATAAAGTAGAGAGATAAGGTAGAAAGATAAAAGTAGAAACATAAAGTAGAAACATAAAGTAGAAAGATAAAGTAGAAAGTAGAAAGATAAAGTAGAAAGATAAAGTAGAAAGATAAAGTAGAAAGATAAAGTAGAAAGATAAAGTAGAAAGATAAAGTAGAAAGTAGAAAGATAAAGTAGAAAGATAAAGTAGAAAGTAGAAAGATAAAGTAGAGAGATAAAGTAGAGAGATAAAGTAGAGAGATAAGGTAGAAAGATAAAAGTAGAAAGATAAAGTAGAAAGATAAAGTAGAAAGATAAAGTAGAAAGTAGAAAGATAAAGTAGAAAGATAAAGTAGAAAGATAAAGTAGAAAGATAAAGTAGAAAGATAAAGTAGAAAGATAAAGTAGAAAGTAGAAAGATAAAGTAGAAAGATAAAGTAGAAAGTAGAAAGATAAAGTAGAAAGATAAAGTAGAAAGATAAAGTAGAAATATAAAGTAGAAAGATAAAGTAGAAAGATAAAGTAGAAAGATAAAGTAGAATTATAAAGTAGAAAGATAAAGTAGCAAGATGAAGTATACAGATAAAGTAGAAAGATAAAGTATAAACATAAAATAGAAATATAAAGTAGAAAGATAAAGTAGAAAGATAAAGAAGAAAGATAAAGTAGAAAGATAAAGTAGAAAGATAAAGTAGAAATATAAAGTAGAAAGATAAAGTAGAAAGATAAAGAAGAAAGATAAAGTAGAAAGATAAAGTAGAAAGATAAAGTAGAAATATAAAGTAGAAAGATAAAGTAGAAAGATAAAGTAGAAAGATAAAGTAGAAAGATAAAGTAGAAAGATAAAGTAGAAAGATAAAGTAGAAAGATAAAGTAGAAAGATAAAGTAGAAATATAAAGTAGAAAGATAAAGTAGAAAGATAAAGTAGAAAGATAAAGTAGAAAGATAAAGTAGAAAGATAAAGTAGAAAGATAAAGTAGAAAGATAAAGTAGAAAGATAAAGTAGAAAGATAAAGTAGAAATATAAAGTAGAAATATAAAGTAGAAAGATAAAGTAGAAAGATAAAGTAGAAAGATAAAGTAGAAAGATAAAGTAGAAAGATAAAGTAGAAAGATAAAGTAGAAAAATAAAGAAGGAAGATAAAGTATGAAGATAAGTAGAAAGATAAAGTAGAAAGATAAAGTAGAAAGATAAAGTAGAAAGATAAAGTAGAAAGATAAAGTAGGAAAATAAAGTAGGAAGATAAAGTATGAAGATAAAGTAGAAAGATAAAGTAGAAAGATAAAGTAGAAATATAAAGTAGAAAGATAAAGTAGATTATATAAAGTAGAAAGATAAAGTAGAAAGATAAAGTAGAAAGATAAAGTATTAAGATAAAGTAGAAAGATAAAGTAGAAATATAAAGTAGAAAGATAAAGTAGAAAGATAAAGTAGAAAGATAAAGTAGAAATATAAAGTAGAAAGATAAAGTAGAAATATAAAGTAGAAAGATAAAATAGAAAAATTAAGTATACAGATGAAGTATAAAGATAAAGTATACAGATGAAGTCAGATAAAATATACAAATAAAGTATAAAGCTAAAGTATAAAAATAAAGTATAAATATGAAGTATAAGGTAAGTAGGTAGGTAAGTAAGTAAGTAAATAATCAAGTAAATAAGTAAGTGAGAAAATTAGCAAGGAAATAAGTATATAAGGAAGTAAATAAGTAATTAACTAAGTAATGAATCGGGTAATTAAGTAAGCTAGTACGTAAAGTATGTTCGTAAGCAAGTAAATAAGGAAGAAAGAAAGGAATGAAGTCAGTAAAGTATGTTATTCACAATGACAATTATCTCCTCTTTTAGAGAAAAGTACTTTACTTCAAAATAAGAGCACAATATATTCAAATAAGAAAATGATTGAATATTCTGGAATTATTCCGGAACTTACGTTCGCAAAATACCAAGTGTAGTATGTGTTCTTCTGGTGCACCGTTTGGTTCGAGCCGAAGTAGGCGGTCCATGCGTCACAAGTAATGCCCCGCAACTCTTGCTGAACGGTAAACAAATACAGGGTTATCTAACCTGTGGTCTCAATGGTTGTAAATTAAATATAGAGCATACACATTTTTTAAGTTTAAAATGTATGAATTTTTTTTTATTTGGAACAAAAAATAGTATTTTATGATGGCGGGAGGCACTAAAACTTTCGGGGGCAGAGGGTGGGGGGGGGGGGGGATATAAGTATATATTCTCTATATAAATTATATATTCTTAAAAATAATAAAGTACTGCAAAACCAATATATATATATATATATATATATATATATATATATATATATATATATATATATATATATATATATCCCTTTCAAACAGCTATGTCCACATTATCTTATTTTAAATGTTTTTAAGACTACTTGCTAGGTACAAGTAGATCTAGAACTATATTCTATAAGTCGAAAGGCTAGCATTAATAATTTCACTTTAACTCATAAAGTAGCTTAAAAAATATAGGCCTAGATCTAGACTAGATTTCATGTTATCTATATACTACTAAAAGTCAAGTTTGTTTACATGTTTGAATATTTATTTTTTTGTTTTTTTGTTTGTTTGTTTGTTTGCCTGATCAAGTATCCTGATATGTTCGGCTCTATGTGGAGAGCTGTAAAATAGTATGTAGGTAGAGAATAATTTTTTAATGCAGACAGACTGTTAATCACAAATTTATTTAAAGACGTTAATTAATTAATTGATTTATTCATAGTTAAATTAACCGTATTTTTTTAAAAATGTTAATACTTTGAATAAACTTTGTGGGGATAGTGACGTCCCTTGATGTGTTTACATTTTTGGTTCAATAAAAATGGCGGACCCCATCAAAGACTTTGTGGCCCATTCAAAAGTTTAACGCGTTACAAAGCTAATTTTCTGTCGGTCATAACTTTAACAATACGTCCGTTTGCTGTATTTATTACGTTCCAACACTTATATCAATTTTCAACTGTCTTTTTCATTTAGTTTTACGATAAATTTCTCTAGATCTAAAGATCAGCTATCGAAGGAAATTTATGAATCTAGCCTAGATCTAGATCTAGCCTAGATGTAGGTCACTAGATTCAATGTAAATTCTACATCTAGAATCTATTTCAGGCCTTAATTATTTTATATAAATCTTTGTTTGGCTTATTTAAGATAAAATTTAATTTGAAAGTTAGTACTACTAGACTTATTTTTAGATCTAGATCTAGAATCTATACGCGTAAATCAAGTTGCATAAGGAGACACATAGTATAGTATAAAAATTCACTTGTGACGTCACGAGTAAATAGCTAAAATGGTAGCGTAGTCAGCTCTCATGCAGGAGGCACGGGTTCTAGACCAATATGTCAATGAAATTTTTTTTTTCAATTTTTTTTTTTAGATGTGAATGATAACGTTGCCTATCTGAACTTGGCAAGATACAGGGCAGGTGAAGTAGAGTTCATCTGTTTCTTTGTCCTAAGCATATGAAAGGATAGTGTGGTCAGATACATGCTCGGCTGGAATTGTTTTTTAAACGATAAAAACATGTTGTCTGAGACTTGGCAGGACACTGGGCAGGTGAAGTAGAGTTGAGTAGGTCACCTGTGACGTCAGTTTATGAAGGGATAGTCCGAAATCGGTGTTTTCGGTGTTTTTAAAAGATAAAAAACATATATTTGAATGTGGGGTCTGTTTTTTGTGACGATAAGTGACACTGCAGTAGCGTACCGAGGAGGGGGGGGGGGGACGGTAGGGGAGGGGAGGCGGGGGGTGGGGAGGGGAGGCGGGGGGGGGGGAAGGGGGGGGTGGGGAGGTGGAGGGGGGAAGGGGGGGGGGACATATGTTGGGGCGCCAAAATGGTTTGGAAAAATAAATTGATAGGTTGAGGGGGGTTCAAATCGAAAGTTTGAGTGGGGGGGGGTGCACATCAAAAGTTTGAGGGGGGGGTTCAAATCGAAAACTTTGTCCCCGGGCGCCGGGAAGGGTCGCTATGCCTCTGAGTGACAGACGTGATGTTTTTTGATGGATGACCCCCGAAACCCACAGTTATCCAACGGATGACGGGTATTCTAGTATATATATAAAGGTTTATTGAAATCTGTTTTCTCCCCCCCCCCCCACCATAAGGTCGTCGCCCAGAGCGTAAGCCCTACCCGCCCTTCCCGAGTCAAGGTCAAATAACTGATTGTACTTACAAGCCCCATGTACTGGTAGGCCGTGGGGTCAAGGTCAAATAAAACTGTACTTACAAGCCTCATGTACTGGAAGGCCGGGTTCAAGGTCAAATAAAACTGTACTTACAAGTCCCATGTACTGGTATGCGGGTTCAAGGTCAAATAAAACTGTACTTACAAGTCCCATGTACTGGTAGGCCGTGGGGTCAAGGTCAAACAAAACCGAGTGTACTTACAAGTCCCATGTACTGGTATGCGGGTTCAAGGTCAAATGAAACTGTACTTACAAGCCCCATGTACTGGTAGGCCATGGTGTCAAGGTCAAACAAAACCGAGTGTACTTACAAGCCTCATGTACTGGAAGGCCGGGTTCAAGGTCAAATAAAACTGTACTTACAAGTCCCATGTACTGGTATGCGGGTTCAAGGTCAAATGAAACTGTACTTACAAGTCCCATGTACTGGTAGGCCGTGGGGTCAAGGTCAAACAAAACCGAGTGTACTTCAAGCCCCATGTACTGGAAGGCCGGGTTCAAGGTCAAATAAAACTGTACTTACAAGCCCCATGTACTGGAAGGCCGGGTTCAAGGTCAAATAAAACTGTACTTACAAGCCCCATATACTGGTAGGCCGTGGGGTCAAGGTCAAATAAAACTGTACTTACAAGCCCCATATACTGGTAGGCCGTGGGGTCAAGGTCAAATAAAACTGTACTTACAAGTCCCATGTACTGGTATGCGGGTTCAAGGTCAAATAAAACTGGTAGTACTTACAAGCCCCATGTACTGGAAGGCCGGGTTCAAGGTCAAATAAAACTGTACTTACAAGCCCCATGTACTGGAAGGCCGGGTTCAAGGTCAAATAAAACTGTACTTACAAGCCCCATGTACTGGTAGGCCGTGGGGTCAAGGTCAAAGAACTGGTCAGATGTCCTCATCTTGACGAGGCCAAAGCCGGCCTGAATGGCGTCGACGTAGGAGACAGTGATGGGGTTGATCTCACACTGGCCGGACTCAAGGTCTAGGGTGTAGCTCAGGCCTGTGGGTGGGGGGAGGGGTGGTGAGAGAAAGTGGAACGGTCGTGTTTAAGATCAAATAAATAGGGAGGTTATTAGTAAGTTTTATATTAGAGCTAGGTGGAAATAGATGGAAGTTTTAGATTAGAGCTAGGCGGAAATAGATGGAAGTTTTAGATTAGAGCTAGGCGGAATTAGATGACAGTTTTAGATCAAACTAGGCGGAAATAGATGGAAGTTTTAGATAAGAGCTAGGCAGAAATAGATGACAGTTTTAGATAAGAGCTAGGCAGAAATAGATGACAGTTTTAGATAAGAGCTAGGCGGAAATAGATGGAAGTTTTAGATAAGAGCTAGGCAGAAATAGATGACAGTTTTAGATAAGAGCTAGGCAGAAATAGATAAAAGTTTTTGATCAGAGCTAGGCGGAAATAGTTGGAAGTTTTTGATCAGAGCTAGGCAGAAATAGATGAAAGTTTTAGATCAGAGCTAGGCAGAAATATATGCAAGTCACTCCAATTAGAGAAAACATAACTAGCACCTTTGACTTGACAAAACAAGTGAACTCTTCTTCACTTGCCCTATAGACCGTCAGGTTTGAAAAGGAAACTTTACTTTTTTTACTTGACTTGACTTAACCACGCAGTGTTTTCTAAAGCCCTTATAACACGTTAACTCTACTTCATCTGTGGTTGTCTCAAAATCTCACCACATTTTATTTTAATTTTTTTTTAACATTTTTTTAAACTCGTGGTAAGCAGAAATGCCATCAACATTCCCGTTGCTATGGTAACCGACCTGTGTTGAAGTCGTCGACCAGTTTCATGTAGGACTTGTCGTTGGTGGAGTGACCCGAGGGGGTGGACACGACGTCCTGGAGGTAGAACCCTAGGGCGTGACGGTACTCCTCCTGCACACACAAAACAGAACTACAATAACAGATGAAAATTATTTAGAGGGTGGGGGAGAAGGGAGGGGTTGCAGAGATAGATGTTTCCGTCTGACCTTTATTATTGTCGCTTTTTGTCACGCGGCATCAAGAGAAAACCAACCAACCCCCCCCCCCCCCATCCGATATTCAGCTTAGCGTGACGTCATTTATGGACGTACTTACCCCCTTCTGTCCAAATTTATAAAGGACTTAATCTGAATGACTCTTGTCCTTCCTAATGAGAAAATAGTAATTTGTGTTTAAGAAGCATATATTCGATTATCTCCCTTGAAAATTAGAAGTAAAGACAGTTTTTAATTTATGTAGTGGCGGAGGCCAAAGGCGTTGCGAGGCGGGAGCGTGGGGTGCGGACCGCACCGGGTGACACCATTTAGGGGGTGACACCAAGAAAAAAAAATGGCAAGATATATATATATATATATATATATATATATATATATATATATATATATATATATATATATATATATATATATATTAAATTTGTTTTTGCCAGTTCAATTAATGGTTAATTAGAGTTTTAAAAAATATTTAAAGCACAGGAGGGCGGTCGGGGGGACTATAGAGAAAACAATGCTACGCCCAGCTGTATTAACAACCGATGATTATAGAAATACATTATTAGTATTGTATTAAATGTGAACACTTTAAAGCTTTTACCGGGGGGGGGGGGTGACACTCACTGCAAAATTTACAGAGGAAAAAAAGGAATGGGGGTGACACTGTGAGGTGCCACACCGGGTGACACCCTACCTAGTGACGCCACTGGCGCAGGCAAGGTGGTTTTGGGCCTCCTCCCCATAAAGCCTCAAAATGAAAGTTGCCCTTTTATATAAATCTGTATGAAAACAAAATGTTGACCCTGCTCTCACGACCAATGCTTGCCTACTGCATGTGTGTGTGTGTGGGGGGGGGGGAGAGAGGTGTAACACATCGTACACACCCCTACCCGGTAACCCTTCCAGTTCACTAAAAAATAAAGTAATATAATAAAAATCGGAAAAAGATGAACATTAAAAAAAATAGAATTCGGGATGACTTTCGATGGTATAGAGTATCTAATAGAATTCGTGATGACTTATGATGGTATAGAGTATCTAATAGAATTCGCGATGGCTTACGATGGTAGAATCTAATAGAATTCGGGATGACTTATGATGGTAGAATCTAATAGAATTCGGGATGACTTATGATGGTAGAATCTAATAGAATTCGGGATGACTTATGATGGTAAAGAGTATCTAATAGAATTCGCGATGACTTACGATGGTAGAATCTAATAGAATTCGGGATGACTTATGATGGTAAAGAGTATCTAATAGAAATCGTGATGACTAACGATGGTAGAATCTAATAGACCTTTTTATGACTTACGATGGTGTAGAGTATCTAATAGACTTCCGTATGACTTACAATGGTATAGAGTATCTAATAGACTTCCGTATGACTTACGATGGTGTAGAGTATCTAATAGACTTCCGTATGACTTACGATGGTATAGAGTATCTAATAGACTTCCGTATGACTTACGATGGTATAGAGTATCTAATAGACTTCCGTATGACTTACGATGGTATCTTATAGACTTCCGTATGACTTACGATGGTATAGAGTATCTAATAGACTTCCGTATGACTTACGATTGTATCTAATAGACTTCCGTATGACTTACGATGGTATCTAATAGACTTCCGTATGACTTACGATGGTATCTAATAGACTTCCGTATGACTTACGATGGTAGGCCTATCTAATAGACTTCCGTATGACTTACGATGGTATCTAATAGACTTCCGTATGACTTACGATGGTATCTAATAGACTTCCGTATGACTTACGATGGTATCTAATAGAATTCCGGATGACTTACGATGGTATCTAATAGACTTCCGTATGACTTACGATGGTATCTAATAGACTTCCGTATGACTTACGATGGTATCTAATAGACTTCCGTATGACTTACGATGGTATCTAATAGACTTCCGTATGACTTACGATGGTATCTAATAGACTTCCGTATGACTTACGATGGTATAGAGTATCTAATAGACTTCCGTATGATTTACGATGGTATCTAACAGACTTCCGTATGACTTACGATGGTATAGAGTATCTAATAGCCTTCCGTATGACTTACGATGGTATCTAATAGACTTCCGTATGACTTATGATGGTAAAGAGTATCTAATAGCCTTCCGTATGACTTACGATGGTATCTAATAGACTTCCGTATGACTTACGATGGTATCTAATAGACTTCCGTATGACTTACGATGGTATCTAATAGACTTCCGTATGACTTACGATGGTATCTAATAGACTTCCGTATGACTTACGATGGTATAGAGTATCTGTGGAGCACTCTGAGAGCCTTTACCGTAGTTGAGTATAGTCAACATTTCACCGCGAAATTTGAAATAATCTGGCATAGACGGAAGTGGTTTTTGTGAGTTTGGCTTTTTGGCGCACATCATCGCTGGTGGGATCTGAAGGTGAGATTTAAGGAAAAAATAAGGATATAAAAGTGGGCAATATATTGTTAGGATTTGAAAGTGTCATATAGAAATTTTAAAAAGTGGGATTTAAACGTGGGAACATATCAGACCATTAATTATATTAGATATATGTAAATATATATATATATATATATATATATATATATATATATATATATAACATTTTATATATAGGATAGAAGTTATACAGTTATGTCCCATGTATAATTTTTAAAAAGGCCAAGGGAGACAGCTCATGTGTTTCAATAATTGTTTAAAATATAGAGGAATTCTGTATGCTTACTAAAAATACAAAACATTTAGTTCTTTGGCTTTTTTAATATAATAAACATAAATATTTACATTTTTATTAATAGTATATTTATTTTATATTTTTTTAGGTTTGTACAATAATATTTTGACGCTAGTTCATATCTAAAACTAGTAGCGTTATTGAATTCTTAAAATAAAAACCCATTAAATTTTAGTTTGATCAATGCTAGTCTTCACGTCCTTATTTAATTGTACTTAGAATATATAAGAAAAAAAAAAAAAAAAAAAAAAAAAAAAAAGAATATACTAAACTACCTTGTAACTTGTAAACAATTCGACAATTCGCTTAAAAAAAGAATATACTAGACTACCAGTTAACATTGGATAACTGTAGGTTTCGGGGTCATCTATAAACGACGTCACGTTTGCTTTACGATTTTAATCTTTCCTCTCCTCACTGTCGCACATGATCACAACTGAACCCACATCCTAAAAGATATCACACCTCAGCCAACATGTTTAAAAACACCGATTTCGTCTGAGCATGGGTCTAAACACACAATCCCTTCCATAGGCTGAGGTCACAGAAAAAGGTGTACGAATAGCAACTTTTTATTGTTCACTCCTAATATTTTATTAGCTCGAACGTATTAATACTAAAAGTAAAATAAATTAATAAATAATTAAAGCTTAACTGTGCATTTTCTATGAGGGAAAATTAAAACCAAAAAAATGTAACTTTGAAATGATGTGTTCTGGACATGATCACTGTCATCTCGGCCAGCTAGGCAAATACCGTTCCTTGAAAACATTTCGTATTAATTTATGTAGGCCTACTCTCCATGAACACTCTTCACCATAAAGTAAAATTACGCCGAATATTATTTTAAATTAAATTATATATTAATGTAACCACTTCCATTGCTAAGAAACAAAGATTTCTAAAAGTATTTAAAGCCTGCAATAGTTTAGTAAAAAAACAAACATTTTTTTCGTTATGTGATTGCCCTAGATTAGCCTAAATTCTAGATTGATACTACTTCTTCACCAACAGACTTAACATGGCTTAGGTCTAGTTTATGGGTAGCTCTAAATAATTGCATTGTATTCTCAAATTAGATTATCTGTGAAGCGTATCCTGTTACAAAATTGATAATAGTGTTGGTACCTAATTAAAATAACAAACACACATATCGTTAAAGCTATAATCGGTAGAAAATTAAGCTTTCTCATGCATTACATTCAGAGTTTCTTCCATGCATCTCTTCGAGGGGGGAAGGGGGCGCTCTGCCGAAGATAGACTACCGCCCCCCCCCCCCCCCCCGAATGAAATGAATGGAATTTATATAGAAAACATACTTTTACCAGTGTCTGCCCCCCCCCCTCCCCTCCCGAAAACATCAAGTGCCCCTCTAACCCCTGGAGAAAAAAGTCTGGAAGAAACATTTTTAAATAGGCAACGGTCTGATTTTTCTAGCGGAAGTCATGTTTGTTGTAAAAATAGGTAAAGTATTTGTTATCTATTAGTATAAAAAAAAGTGTCTACCTATGAATAAATCATTAAATTAATTAACGTCTGTAGATAACTTTGTGTTTAGCATTTTGATAAAGAAGAACACTGTTCTCTACATAAAAAACGCATTTTACCGTTATACACATAGTGCTGATGCTCTGATCAATGAAAATAGACAAACAAAAATAAATACACACGTGTATACAATAGTAACAATCAAATTTTTGAGAACAAAGACAATTGCCCTGTTGGAGTCTTTTAAAGTGCCAAGAATATTGTCCTGACGGGCCTTCTATAAGTACCAAGACTATTGCCGTGTTGGAGTTTCTTAAAGAATATTATTCTGATGGGCCTTCTACAAAAACTAAGAGTACTACCATGTTGGAATTTCTATATGAACAAAAAAGATTCCAACCTACCCTGAAGTGGTGGTCGTCTGGTTCTATCCTTCTAAAGTGTGTGAAGTCGTATCTGCAAGAGACACATCAGCTTAGGCAACAACAACAACGTTACCAATTTAAACAACAACAGCTTTAAAATTGTTGGCAAATTTAACAACAACGTTACCAATTTAAACAACACCAACTTTAAAATTGTTGGCAACTTTAACAACAATGTTACCAATTTAAACAACAACAGCTTTAAAAACTTTAGCAACTTTAACAACAACGTTAACAATTTAAACAAAAACAACTTAAAAATTGTTGGCAACTTTAACAACAACGTTACCAATTTAAACAACAACAGCTTTAACAATTTTGGCAACTTTAATAACAACAACTTCAACAAAATCAACGTTAACAACAACGTTAACAATTTGACCAACAAATTTTAAAAAATTGGCAACTTTAACAACAAGAACTTCAACAACATTAACCTTTACAACGGCAACTTTAGAAACTCTAATAACTTTTAATTTTAAAGTTTTGCTACAACAGCTTTACAATGCACACTCGACGACCCTATTTAAGGACTAGCACACAGTCAACACAAAGCTGTTTATTTCCTCTAAATATTAACTATTGTATATACAGCACAATCCAGAACTCTACTTATTTCCTCTAAATGTTAACCAAATATGGACACGATTTCGCGTATTTCCTCTAAGTGTCAACTACATATGGAACATAATAACCAATGCTGCTTATTTCCTCTAAGTTAAGTGTTAAATACATATGGAACACAATACACAATTTTGCTTATTTCTTCTATTGTTGACCAAAATATGACATAATAAACAATTCCGCTTATTTCCTCAAGTGTTAAGTACAAACGTATACAACACAATGCTGCTTATTTTCTCTAAGTGTAGACTACATTTGGAACATTATACAATGGTTCTTATTTCCTCTAGTGTTAAATACAAATGTACCACACAATTCTGCTTATTTCCTCTGTGTTCACACTGATGTATCTACCATCTGCCAGTAACTGACCTGTAGGTAAAGTTGATGATGTTACCCGGGTCCACCTTGCTGATGCCCGTGACGGTGGCACTAATGGGCAGAATTGGTTTGGGCTGGGGCATCGACGCTTGCACGACAGGCAGTTGGTATTGCGAGGGATCTGGGAGGGGGGGGTGGGAGAATTTGATACAGTGATTGGTAAATAGCTATATATACATACAATCTTATTTCAATGGCAAATGTAGACACAGGTATAAAATATAGTATTAGAAAAGACAGAGTTGATTTAGCTACACTAATTCACACGGGAAACCGAATCGCCTCGTCTGTCGTGCTTTGGGTCAGAAGTGTAAACACTACGGCCATTTAGCTAAGTTAAAATCACCCATGATCTAGAAGGAGAGGACTGTTGCCTTTATATATATATTTTTCCGGCTGGGCTGTGGATAAAATGCGTTCGAAAACTTACCGACGATGTTCAAGTTGCCAGTGAAAACTTATCGACGATATCCATGTATCCAATAAAAACTTACCGACGGTCCATGTGGCCAATGAAAACTTACCTACAATATCCAAGTGACCAATGAAAACATACCTACGATCTGCCACTCGGTGAAGGTCGTAGAATCCAGGTAACCCTGGTAGTCACAGCTCCACCACTTCTGCGTCTTGATACCTGGGGGTGGGGGTAGACGGGGGGAAGTGATAAGGTAGGGGGGCAGGGAGGTGTTAAAACTTTTTTGAAATTTTTGTTTTTAATTTTTTTTTATTTTTAGAGAACCCAAACAGTAGACAATGCGACACACACACCACAATTCTCAGCTACTCTTAACCCCAACTTTAACCCCAACCTTAGCCCAAACCCTGAGGTTAAAACGGTATCCTTTACCTCGGGAAACATCTTCTCCTTTGTAAGAAATATTTCTTCTTTCAGGCCCGCCCCAGTGGAAGGCGACTGGAAACAAGTAAGACAACAATTTAAGCTAATTACGAACTCTTAGAATTTCGACCATTTAGTTTTTATCTCTATACTGTCTATCACGTTAGTCCTCTGAATTTATGAGAAATATTTTGTGATGTTAACTATTCTCATACAGGAAAAGTAGTTTATAAATAGGTTTGTAAGACTCGGTCTCTCTCACTTTAAAGTTCTAAATCTCGTTAGCCAGGAAGAAATATAAATGTTCCAACTAAATTAATTGTTTTGAACACGACTCCCATTGATAACAAAAACAATGGTGTCTATTAGTTTCTAGGCCTCGTCTCATGAGCACCCAAAATTTAATAATTATGCATATTTTACTAATAGTAGAATCAAAGTAAATTCCTGTAGGCCTGGTCTTATTATATTAATTTATTGCAACAACATTTATGACAACTTGTTACGGATTCAAATAAATAATAGCAAACTGTACGCTTCTTTTTTTAAATCATAATTTCACATAGGCTACATTTTTCTTTAAGCCAACCTACATCTTTTAATCTATCACTATCATTGCTTATGGTTTTAAATAACGTAAGCGAAAGTAACTTATTTATTGATTGATTTATTTTTACCTTTAATATGAATATACATAATTTGATTTGAAAAATACTAGCTGGCAAGTACGAGAACGAGAAGTTGGTGACCTACTAACAAGCCCTATTCACCTAAATATTACATAAAACAACGAGATAGTACAAGAAATCACGTTGAACTCACTTGCAGGCTCGCTGAGGGTTGTGACGTCATGAGCGTCAGTTCTGGCGCCCAAGAGCTGGTAAATCTGCGAGCCTTCGAATGTGGAGTCAGTGCAGTTACCTGCGTCACAGATGGAAAGATAAATGGTGTAACTCCTCGTGTCACCTTTTTATTTACACGTGTCACCTTTTATTTACAAGTGTCACCTTTTATTTACATGTGTCACCTTTTGATTTACATCATGTAACTTTTTATTTAGTGTGTCACCTTTTATTTTCACATGTCACTTTTAATTACACGTGTCACGTTTTTATTTACATGTGTCGTCTTTTATTTTCATATGTCATCTTTTATTTACACATGTCACCTTTTATTTATATGTGTTACCTTTTATTTACAAGTGTCACCTTTTATTTATGTGTCACATTTTATTTCTATGTGTCAACTTTTATTTCATGTGTCACCTTTTATTTTTATGTGTCACCTTAAAGACAAACTGTAATGCATGTCGTCTAGTAAGCAATCTAATTTTATCTGCGTCCCTTCACAAACCAAACCTTTACATATCCACGTCAATTTACAAACCAAGCCGCCCTTGACATACCAATGTCACTTTACAAACTAACTACGTCACCCTTTACATATATGTGCTGTTTCTCAAACCAACTACCCAACCCTTTTCATATGCGAGTCACAAACCAACTACCCAACCCTTTACATAAGGTTGTCACTTTACCAACTAAACCCCCCTCCATCCGCCTATGTCACCATAGAAATGAGCGAGACCACTATTGACTTACTGCTGTTCAAGGGTACGATCATCACTTCGTTGTACTGGACATCTACCCACACCTGGGCAGGGTTAGCGTCTGTTGCCAAGGAGACGTAGGATTTACCTCCGGCCTACAGTTGAGGATACACAGAAAAAAACGGGTCAGAGAGAAGATCTCACATCATGTATGGTTACTTGCTGGGAGAGGCGATATACATAAGTGAATCAAATTTTTAACACGTTTTTATTAACTCAGCTTCGCGTGGATGTGTTTGTTGTTAAAATTGACATCGAAAATTAGCCCACTTCTGATTGCTCTATAGATCTGAAATTTGGCATGCAGGTTACTTTCGCCTAACAATTTCAGATGCAATCATAAAAACTAGCAATTAGAGACCGTAATTAGCTTAATTTAATTACGCCCAAAGGACCATAAAATTGAGGACATGATTTCTAAAGATACCGACAAGACTGGAGGCTTGTTGACACAGTTACTTCGGCCCCAATCGATGTGAGCGCGCTGGCCGTGATCGTATAGTGGTTAGTACTTCGCGTTGTGGCCGCGACAACCCAGGTTCGAATCCTGGGCGCTCAAGATTTTTTTAGTCCGTGTATTTATAAACACTTAGTCAATTCATACTTAATCAAGTCATTAGATAAAGTAGAAAATAAACTATATAAAAAACTTTTTTAAAAAACACGTTTTTCATGTGTAGCAACGGACTAAAAAGGAGAAAATAAAATACTTAAAAAAAACTTTTTAAAAAACCACGTTTTTCTTGTGGACTAAAAAGTAGAAAATAACTATTTACATACATTTGATGACAAAAAACGTGGGTCGGGCAGATGGGTCGGGAAATTTGATGGTGAACGTACCCACGTTTTTTGTCATCAAATGTATGTAAATAGTTATTTTCTACTTTTTAGTCCACAAGAAAAACGTGGTTTTTTAAAAAGTTTTTTTTAAGTATTTTATTTAATAGTATCTTTACCCTAATTCTCACCTGTCCCTAACCTTTACACCAGGGGTCTCCAAACTTTTCAGTCCGAGGGCCGCATTAACTATCAAATTTCCGTTCGGGGGCCAGTTTCTTCATGGCATGTCTTTGATTTTTCTGGACAAACTTCCTCAGCCATCAAACAAACGATTTTTCGTTGGACAAAAAGTTCTCCGCGGGCCGGATGAGAGGACTTCGCGGGCCGCATCCGGCCCGCGGGCCGTAGTTTGGAGACCCCTGCTTTACACTAATAACGATCTCAGCCCCGATGCTAATTGTGACCTTTACGTTAATATCAGTGGCGTCGCTAGGTCGGGTGTCACCCCATGGTGTCACCACCTTAGTTTTTTCTATCAGTGTTGCAGTTGGTGTCTCCCCCCCCCCCCCCGGTAAAATCTTTAAAGTATCCACATCTAATACCAATGATAGTTATCTATAGTCGGGTGTCAATACAGCTGGGTGTAGCATTGTTTTCTCTATAGTTTGTATGTTTAGGTCATGGTGTCACCCACCCCTACCTCGTCGGGATCGTCATGTAACAAGCTAATTGCAGGCAGAATTCAAATTTTTCATGATTAAAACTTAGCAAATCGAACTAAAATTTTATAAAACAAAGTGTATGTTACATGCTTTGCACAATAAGGTATGTTGTGTGAAAGAGACAAAGTGACTTGTATTCATGATTCTTTTATAAATATGGTTTTCTTGTTATATTCAATTTGGTGATCATTACGTTAGGATTACGACGAATAAATATAAAGAAAGAAAGAGTTAAGAACAAATATTTAGCATTGTTTCAAATACAGTTTAAGTAGAGTGCTTTTTTTATATTTTTTATAATTTAATAATATAAATTTAAAGTTTTCAATTTATATATATATATATATATATATATATATATATATATATATATATATATATATATATATATATATATATACACACCCCTGAACGAAATGGAATTTATTTAGAAAATATGTACTTTTAACAGTGTCCGCCCCCTCCCCGGAAATTTTAGTCCGCCCCCCCCCCCCCCAGAAAATTTCAAGTGCTCCCCCCTCCCACCCCCCGGGAAAAAAGTCTGGAAGAAACACTGAACCCCTCCCATCCCAATAAGCAAAATGCCTGAAAGAAACCCTTACAACAGTCTGAACAAACCTGCGAGTAGTATTCTTCTATGTTCACCACTTTCTTTTTATCTATAAACTTCTGTTCTACGAATACATAAAAGTTGTCGAAAAAAACTGGAGGGGGTTCTGAAACAGTGGACACATAATGTATTCACAAATTATTCACACTGATGAAATTACTTCACCATCTTACTTCCATCAATTACCACACACTTAACTACGCTCACCACAGATAAAAGCATTACACTCATACATAAACTCATACATATTACCGTATATATCAAATGATCACACACTTACGCTGACATAACCCCACCACACTCTTAAATCAACTCTCCACACACACACACACACACTTACATCAAACGACCGCTCAATTACGCTTACAAACATTTAGACAATCCCACCACACACTTACCTAAACGCCACACACACACTCTTACATCAATTGGCTTACATAATCTAACAACATACTTACATCAACTCACCACACAAACGCTTACATTAAACGACCACACACTTACACTTACATAATCCCACCACACACTTACATCAACTCACCACACAAACGCTTACATTAAACGACCAAGCACTTACACTTACATAATCCCACCCCACACTTACATCTACTCCCCACTCATAAACTCATCATACACTTACATTAAACGACCACATAATTACGCTTACACACTCTTACATAAACCCACCACACACTTACATAATCCCACCACACACTGACATCTACTAACAATTAGCACCGTCATGTACTATCGCTCCCATTTTCTGCTTACAGAAATCTACATACGCTTACACATTCTTACATAATCCCACAACACACTTACCTTAACTCAAAGCACTATCTTGCTTACATCTAATGACCATACACTTACATAATCCCACCACACACTTACATCAACTCACCACACACACGCTTACATCAAATGACCACACACTTACATCCACTCACCACACACATACATCTGCTCACCATTAGCGCCGTCTGGGTCTATTACTCCCATCCTTTGGTTACAGAAATTGACATCAAACACCGATGAACCTCTGGACACCGCTGTCGCCATGACAACGAGACACACCAAGTAGCATCGCATTTTCTAGTCCTGTTTTCTTTTTCAAGTTTTTATTTTTTATTTAGGCAATGAGTTTCTTTCCGTTTATGTTGATTGAAAATTGCTTCTACAATTAGATGGCATGGCGACTAGAACGTTCTGTGGTGTAAATATAAAAGTAAAAGTAAACATTCCACTTTAAATCTAGCAATCCATATCAATTAGGCAGATGAAGTAGAGTTTATGATCTCGGCAGATAAAGCGATATTGTGGTCAGCACTATGCCTAGGCGCCTTTACCTTACCTTAAGTGCGTTAGGTACCCATCAGTTGGATGGACTCAGTGAAATTACATTGACTTGAACCGGATTTGAACTAGAGACTTTCGAGTTAGCAGTCTAGCGCTCTACCGCTAGGCCACGCCGTTCCATGATGTACATATATATGACCAAGTCAAATCCTGCCTAACATCAGCAAACTAAATAAATAAAATCAAGCCTCGTTTTCTAAAGGTCGTTAATGGGGTTAGGGCCGCAGTATGTGCCAGCTAAGCCCCCCACCCACCAACCCTAAACTTTGCAATGTAACTAAAAGAGTGTTCACCTTTAAGTCGTTCTAATCATGTCAGATTAACAATAAGTAGGACTAACGTTTGTCCTCCTTAATTCGGTGTTTTTAATGACGTGTTATGGTTTAGGCTACGGTTCGTGTTATGGATTAGGGCAGTGGCGTAGCTAAGGGAGGGCTAGTGGGCCGGCTAATCCCAGGCGATGACACTAGGGGCACCAAAAGGGATAGCAAAAATAAAATAAAAAGCTCATTTTAGCTACATTATTGAATACGAGCCGACCCGCTGCGTATCATACGCCGCTATTTAGTTGTTTTTTTTTTTCTACTTTTCAGTAATTTATAATTTGTGAATTCGACAGTACCAATGCTGCCATTGAAAATATTTGCTTAAAAACACTACCCCCCCCCCCCCCCCCACGTGAAAGCAGCCTCCTTTTAGTTACCTCCTCTAAGTTTAAAATCGTTTCAAACTAAATTATCTGCCCCTAATAGCCGTCACTAAACCCGTCTCTGTGATTGTAAAATGTAAACAGAGTGAACACCGCTCACCAGATCATGTGGGGGTGGGGTGGGGGTGGTAGTGATAGTGATAGTGATAGAGAGGGAGAGAGGGGACTGCAAAGGCGCGCTTGCAGCTTGTTTTCTAACTGATCCCAGAAGAGAATTATATATACGAGCCGACCCGCGGCATATAATACGCCGCTATTTAGTTGTTTTTTCTACTTTTCAGTTATTCATAATTTGTGAATTCGACACTACCAACGCTGCCACTGAACATATTTCTTTAAAACACTATAAGTAGCTCGTTAAGGACGATAACCCCCCCCCCTCCTTCACCCCCCCCCCCTCCATTAAAGTAAACTCCACTTAGTTAGCCCCCCCCCCCCCTCTACGTTTAAAATCGTTTCAAACTAAATTATCTGCCCCTAATAGTCGTCACTAAACCCGGCTGTGTTTGTAATGTTTGTAAACATAAAGAGTGAACCACAGTTCACCAGACCATGTAGGGGTGGGGGTGGTAGGGAGCGCGCTTGCAGCTTGTTTTCTAGCGTCTCCCAGAAGAGAATTATTTATATAGATAGATAGATTACAGTCGATGTTAAGAAATTAGATTGCTAGTTGCCTTTTACAGATTAATTTAATTGTTTTCTATATCAATTGTGTTACATCAAATTGAAACTGTTACGGGAAAACGACTGGTAAAAAGCGTCCCCTACAGTGTTTCTTACATGCATCTTTTCGCGGGGGGGGGGGTTTAACCCCCTCGAACGAAATGGAATTTATATAGAAAATATATACTTTTAATCGTGTCGCCCCCCCCCCCCCGGAAATTTTAGTCTGCCCCCCCCCCCCCCCCGAAAAACTCAAGTGCCCCCCCCCCCGCCTATCTGGAAATACACTGACCCCTACCCTGCCAAATAAAGTGGGGGAGGGTGGCGACAAAGTTGATAGCTCGCCCCTGGTAAAGGAATGGGTCACGATAAAACATACCTGTATTTTGAAAAGTGGATTATTTATCACAAAATTATCCTTTACAGATGAATGATACACATAGAATCCTTAGAATCTCAAAACGCAGAAAAGTATAGCGCCATATACTTTGTATGTATCAAATTACTTCATATTTATAACAAAATAATTTATTCACAGGCAAATAATAGAATCCTTAGAATCTCATCACGCAGACGTGTAATGTCCTTCTCTATGTAGGTCTAATATACACATAGGAATTTTAAATTCACTCAAAGTGGTTATCCAAGCCGGTGTGTGCATGTATGTGTGTTTAACTTCATTAGTAAATAAAGGGGTGTGTTTGTGTCAGAGGCGTAGCCAGTGGAGTGTTTGTTGGTAGGGTCGGAGATGACTGAAAATGAAAACGTTCTCAATCTAAATCTGCTTGGTGATGACGGCTTGCTTATCACTATCAATGCTTTAAATTTCAAAACTCTTAATGTCATAGAGAAATCGCATACGCCTTTGTATATACAGATAGTATTTTGACACCCCTCTCCTCCCCTTTACATTAAACAGGCTAACGCCAGTGGTTGAAGTGGATACTAAAGATTATCGATAAAGATACGAGGTGTGTTAACGTGCCGATAATACGCTGTGGTTTTTTTTTCTTAAACAACACTACGATAAATTGCTTTGTAATTACTGATAGTGATAGTGAAGGCGCATCTCTCAACTCTTATACTGAACTTTACTTTTACATAACTATGCAGTGATTTTATTGGGAGAATGAAGATAAATTAGAGGGGCTTACTTAGGGACAAGTAAAAGTTAATTGGTACCACATAACGGAAAAGTACACTTTTTTACTTATAGATGTCCCCGTGTTGCCGGATGTAGGTTTCTATTGTTAGAACTAGTACAACTGATTTAACGATAAAAGAATTCTATTATCTCAGGTTGGTCAGATAACAGGTCGCGTGTTCTGGTGTTAGATTATGATTTGGTTGGTTTAGGAATAGTTCACACTGTGTGTGTGTGAGTTTGTGGGTATGTGTGTGTGTGTGTTTGTGGGTGTGTGTGTCCTTAGTTGTTTTTTTTATACATGTAGGTGCATGTGTGCTTATGTGTGTTTGTGGGTCCCCCCTAAGTTTATATAAGTGTATATGTGCGTGTGTGCGTGTTTGCCTGTAAGTATCTTTTGTATTTTGTAACCGTGTACTTTAAGCTTCATTCCTTATTTGGTAAAGCTGATAAATGGTTTATATTGTCTCGATTAACGAACATCTGGTTCGAGACGGGGAAAATGACTCGGATTACGAACAAAACTACGATGATATCCAGTTCACACAGTAAAATAATCCAAGAAAGTTGAAAAGATCTGGTAGTGTTGTCTTGCTTGCGTATTTGTTTCATAGGTCCGACTAAGGTTGCTATCTATACTTGGGACACAGATCTTTTTTTGGCCAATAGGCCTATAGCACTTTTCTTTATAGCCGATATAACACTTTTTAGGGCCAATACAACTTTTCATTAGGGCCGATATATTTTAGGGTCAATACAACTTTCCTCTTTAGGGCCGAAACAACTTTTCATTAGGGCCGATTCAACGTTTCAGATACAAAAATTATCTTTATGGGGGTTATAGCTTTTCTTTATGGCATATACAACTTATTATTGCCTATGCAATATGGCCTAAAGAAAAATGTGTAAGGCTAATTCAAAGACCGCACGTAAGTTAAGATCCTTTTCGAACCTGACGGTGCATTGGGCAAGTGAAGTAGAGTTTACTTGTTTCTGTTACCTTGGAACAGGAAGGTATTGTGTAGTCAGCACCATGCACAGCCGCCTTTACCTTCCTAGCGTGAGTTACGTACTCATCAGAGCTGGGTTAACTCAGGGACGTTCTACTGAGTTGGACCAATATTCGAACTGGGTTAGCAGTCTAGCACTTAACCGCTAGACCACGCCGTCTTAGTACACATAAAATGTAAAAAAAAAAAAAACACATTTTATCATAATTTTTATTATATAAAAAAATTCTGATCACAATGTTACATGGTTGATAATTTAAAAAAAAAAAAACAGCATGTAATACATCAACACAATAGTGAAATGATCCCTTTATAAGCATTGCACAACAAACTGAAAAAGATCATACAGAAGATCATTTTTAAAAGGCATTCAGCATATGGAGACACAACAAAACTATCCACTAGTTTGTTCTCAGTACTTACAGCTGTACCAAAATGGTTTGAAAAACAGATAATTTTTTTTTTACTTCTCCTACAAAAAATTATATGATTATATTTTTGTAGTCAGCATAAATATTATAATTGTGTGGTCCAGAGAATTTTTAAATTACATTTTTTGGTCCATATAATTATACAATTCTATTTTTAGTCCACAAAACTACTATTATAATTGTGTGGTCAAACCAATTTTAAAATTATATTTTTGTAGTTAACAAAATAATTAAATTGTATTTTTGAGATCCACAAAATTATAAAATTATATTTTTGTAGTCCACGTAATTAAAAAAAAAATATTTTTGTAGTCCACTAAATTATAAAAATATATTTTTGTGGTCCCAAAAATTACAAAATTTTTGTAGTTTTGTAAGAGCCTCACATTCAACATTTATATTTATACAAGTGTGTCAGGAGTAAATAAATGATTCCCTTTTCCCAAAACTTTTATTATAAATTCACAAAAACAATTTTAATGTAACATGTTTTTTTCAACATAATGCAAATTCAAGTAAATTTTTTTTTAATATATGTTTTTTTAATGTTAAAGAATATTTTTATTTATAATAAATACAGTGGAACAAAAAAAGTCGAATTATTTGAATACCTAAGGTAGGCAATGTCAAGGTTAGTAGGAACATGATTAATCTCCCCTTTCAAGGGACATCACTTTCAATCACCATACAATTTCTCTTCTTTTTAAAAAAAATGCTATTTCATTTACCAGCATTAAATACAATTAATACAATTAATTCAACCATAAACATTGCTCGACATTCACACAAAAAAAACCCAGCTTTAAGCAATTGTTGTATTAACAATCAACTTGACACAGAATTTAATGCCAGAATGTTATCTTTTTCAACAAAACCACAAAATCATAAATGTAGATCTACATTCAAAGTATGCAAACATATACATCAGCAGAATTCAGCACATTTATCATAAGACTACAGGCTTAACAGGGTACATCACAGCTGAGCTTATTATTTGTAGAGGCACATATTTTTTTTTCTATTAAATAACAACTTGCCATTTTTATAATACTATTTGCAAACACTGGCAATTTTAACACTGACAGTGACATAACACTGGCATAAGTGTCACTGACAGTGCCCCTGATATCCATAATTACAGTGATGACACTAACACTGACACAGGTGTCACTGATAGCGCCTGTGCTGACATCCATACTGACAGTGATGACACTAACACTGACATAGGTGTAACTGACAGCACTTCCACTGACAGCTATACCACTGGCACGTGTCACTGACGGAATAGAGTGTCATTTGGTCTATGCTCCTAGAGTCACTGGGAGAAATTTTTTTACAAAACCAATGTTTAGCATAACAAAAATAACAATTTTTAATAAATGTAATATTGCTACGTGACTTAATTCACTGATGAAACAACTACTAGATCACACACCAATTTGAAAAAAAATAAATCTGGGTTTCACTAATTAAAATAAAATGGCGGCACTAAATTATATGAGCACGACTGGCATAAAAACAATAGCTCTACATTGGTGGTAAAAAATGTAGTGATAAACAAATATGCATATAGACATATTGACACACAGAGACAATGAACATACATTTTTATAATAGAGTAGTAAATAAACGTACTGTATCATTTTCATCAACATGTAAAAATATTCACAACAATTCATTTTGCATTCGATGGTACTGAACTAGTATATCAGTTATATGCATGTATTATGGTTGTTTACCTAGAAGGCCATACGTATACATACAAATACACAAAATACACAAACATTTAAGTTTTCCATGACATTTTTCACAAGCCTCGGGGTAGACAAAGGCTACATCAGGGGTAATGTGGTCAAATGGTACAGTGCATACAAAAAAAAATGAATTTGAATCCAAGTCGAGATGACTGGACAGGTTTTCTGCATGGTACCCCCCCAGTTCAACCATCTGAGCATTGTACTGGCCACACTGCCCCTTCATAAGCTGCGGTAACAGAAACAGGTGAGCTCTACTTCACCTGTTCTGTTGACCAACAGGTGTCACTTTTATAGGCACACAAAAAACATATTGAGATGTGGGTCAAAATACCAAATTAATTAATTAATAATAATGCATATAAGGAAAATCTTCGTAGAAGTTGTGCGTCATCTTATACACTGGGTTTCATCAATGTATGTTGAATACACATATATAACAGTACTCTATATTTTACTGAAAAGGTGTATTGTTATCCTATATGCTAGAAAATACGGTATGTGACTTAAAACAAAGTATACATTTGAAAAATTTAGCAAGTTAACACAGCAAAATATATATTTTTTTAAAAATTCTTTGACTGCATTAAATTAAAAAAATATTTACAAGAGAAATAGAAAAAAAAAACTATTAATTTATGATCATCTTCCACAGTTAAAAAAAATATAAAGACAAACAGCACTTATTTTATTTCCTTATAAAACAACCTACTTTCATCATTAAAAATAACAATCTTACTACATTGCATATTCATAATTCTTATATCAGGTCATTGGGTTTAAAACAAAATACCCAAAAACTAGAATTGTTTACAAAATACATTGACAAATATAAACACTGTGATAAGATGTAGTAGGATACCATGTGATCTAACATGTGAATAATGCATATACGGAAGTCACAGAAGGTATTTTTATTTAAAATGTCATGTATGAATAAAGCCATCTAAAAAAATAAATAGTTTTAAATTAATTTGCAGGCACAAATACTGGTGAAGAAATATGATAAAAATAATGCCAAAAATATTCAGTGAAAATGAAAAAAAATGTAAATTAGGTTTTGATAATAAAATACAGAGATGCTGTGAACTTAGATCTTCATCTTAAAAGTATTGTTAATAACAATATACCAGGGGTGTGGAAGATGGGTTTGTAATAGGGATGGCAATTAGTGACGTAGGCAAGGGAGGGGGAGGTAAGGTGTTGGGTGTGGGAGGATGACCACTAAAATGACAGCTGTTGTGTGAAAAGCTGGAGCTATTGGCCACTGCCCACTCAAGTGGCTCTTCATTTTAAAAATCTAAGCCATTAAACCCTAAATTTAACACTCTTAAAATAAGTATGGTCTCTCTATTTATATACATATATGGAACTTTTTGGGAACTCCACCTCACCCATAACAAAATCTTTCGGTATGTGGACATATAACTACAGGTGCTTTGACCATAGGGGCTTTGTCTAGAGTGGGGGTTTAAACACATAGTAAAGATCTACTTAAAAAGGGATAAAAAGTTGCATAATTGTATTTGAGGGTACCATATGATTTAATAATATGATTTTTCATCATGCATAAATAACAGTCATCTCGACCACTCAGGTAAAAAGTTGCAGCATTCCATAAAATCAAAACTTGGTGCAAATATTTTGAATTAATTTTTACAAAATTCATTTAAAAAATTTTTTTAACCCATTTTGAGAACAATTTGTTAGCTTTAGAAATTAACAGATGTACTGACATATTTGTGTGCTGTAGCACATTTGTTAATTAGTTAACCATAAAAGTTTTACAACTTTGACTATGTCATAGGCAGGCTTTTTATCATTTATACTTTTACTTTCATGATGCAACAAGTTAAACATTTTACTTGTTGAATTATTTGTTACTTTTTTACAACAGGGTAATTTCTATTAATAGAAACTCAAAGGAAAAATTTGCACCTAAAATTGTATTTATTCCATCATTCATCTAAATTGAATATCAGTTTATTAATATTATCACTATAAAAATGATCACCTATAGTTAAAATTCCTCTGGTCAAAGCCCCTACGGTCAAAGCCCCTGTAGTCAATGCATCTGTGCTCAAAGCACCTAGAACCAATCATAGCCAGTGATGGCACAATTAAATTATTGTTTTAAAATCCTCTGGAGACATAGGTAACACTATGAAAAATGTTGATTTGGATATTTGAATACGGAGTGAGAGACAACTTCTGATCTATGATAATAAGAGAGACTTCAGTGCATTACACAGTTTCTGTGTAGGTCAATTTGTCACTTAAGAAGTGGCTATAGGAAAATAAATGGAAATGGTGAGACAGAAATACAATTATTTCATTAAAAATTGGGGTGTTGTTAAAGTATACAATTTTTGGCATAAAAAATATTTTTATATAACAAATTCTTATTTGTGCCTAAGTTTTTTAAAAGTTCCAACTCTGATAAGTTAAGATAAAATAAAAATGACTGTTGATGAGAGATATCTAACTTGTTCAGTCATTAGTGTAACTGGGATATCCTAGACTAAGACATTTTCCTCTATACTGTTTAAGGGATGTATAACCACATTTTCCCTACACAATTCAAGGTTTTATAAGTTGAAAATTTAAGTTTCTAAATTTTTTTTCGCATTTATTAAAATTTTCTTTCTTCAGCAGGATAAAAAATATTTCCGTAAAAAAAAAAATATTTTGCACCTGCATTTTACAATTTTTTAAACAAAATCTTTCAAAAAATACATACCCTGAAATTCACATCCTAAAACATGACATGTTAGTGTTTCTCTAAATGTACAAGTGAACTACAACACATAAGGTTTTAACTGTTTAGTCCTCTGTTGTTATATTGGACTGAGACTCCAACCAATTTTTTATCCGCTCCTTGTCGATGATCCGATGGTGACTCTTGGCCTTCTCCTCTTCCTCATCCACCTCCTCTCCCTCTTCCTCCTCCTGCTGCTCATCATCATTGTACTCATCAACAGCATCATCATCGTCATCATCCTCTTCATCCACCCCGTGCCCTCTACTCCCCTTCTGTCGGAGCTCACTCCCGCACACCGCGGACAAGGAAGAGGGTGACAGCTGTGACATTTGACCCCTGACCCTGGGGTCGTGGGTCAGGGAATGCTGGGACAGAATCTCATTCCCCAGGTTGTAGCTGTTGCTGTGAATGGAGTCTATGTGAGCCATGGCCCACTTGCTGGCTCCCTGATCAGGTTCCGCAACTCTCCTCACCCTCACCTCACCGGAGTTGTCCGCCCCATCACTGTCTTCCTGGTCTTCGAAGTCCTCCTGGATGTTACACTGGCCTGAGATTAAGTCCCCTTTCCTGATCAAACTGTCCTCGTTGATGAGCGTGGACTCGCTGACGTTTCGACTCAACTTGCCCACACCATCATCAGCCGACTCTTGTCCACCGCCACCACCTCGACTTGACTGACCACCATCTTTATCGACAGGAACTGTAACTCTAGCCCCTACCATATCACCAAACCTGACAGAGTTTGTGTTCCTGTTTCCTTTTTTCTTCCTCCTGTTTTCTCCAAAGTCCTCTGTGTCTGCCTCGTTTCCATCATCGAAGTCTTGACCTGGCTTGGTGGTGCCCCCAGACGGATGGACAACGTTCCCCGCCGCATCACGGACAATCTCATAGCCCTGGGGAGTGGACACAATGATGATAATGTACAGATGATTTAAAGATGCTACAAAGAGATATACAATGATAATACTAAGATGAATTGAAGATGCTTTAGAGATATAGGGAGAATACAATGATGATAATGTACAGATGATTTCAAGATGCTACAAAGAGATACACAATGAAAATACTAAGATGAACTGAAGATGCTTTAAAAATGCAGAGAGAACACAATGCTAATACAAAGTTGTTTTAAAGATGATCATAAAAAAGATGATATATAAATATGATACAATTTGAATAGAAAGATGAAATAAAAAGGATAGATAATGATAATGATAAATAGATTATATAGATATGATACAAAAATGATACAGAAAGGATAATATAATGACAAAAATGGGATGCAGATAGGGGAAATTTGATGATACAAAGCTGATAATTAAAAAATGATTTTTCAAGCTCAGGTTATCAACACAACAAAAAGTTAATTCTAAAAAAAGCATCAAATGAAAAGTACAGAAAGTTTACTATACTAGGCTGAGACTTTAAACCACCCATGAATATAAGACTTTAAAAAATCTGGAATTATATCTCGAGATAAAAGTGGCTAAAATAAGTTTGGGGATGACTGTAGAGATGACTTAGCAACATTAAGTTTTTTTGCAAAACAAAACTTCTTAGAATACATTTTGAAAAATGACAGTGTATAAAGATGACAGTAGTACCATCTTAGAAAGGCTGACAGTGTAAGAAGATCAGTAAAGCAAATTTTTTTTCTATTGAGGAACAGAAATTAGAAACTTTGAATGATGACTTGTAAACCTGACTTTTGCCAATGAGGAACAGATTTTAAACTTTGAAAGATGAGTGATAAAGCTGACTTTTGCCAATGAGGAACAGACTTCAAACCCTTTTTGTAAATCTGACTTTTGCCAATGAGGAACAGATTTTAAACTTTGAAAGATGAGTGGTAAAGCTGACTTTTGCCAATGAGGAACAAGACTTCAAACTCTCAAAAAGGACTTGTAAAGCTGACTTTTGCCAGTGACTTACCTTACTGTCCACCTCCGGCTCCGCGTGAGGGAAGTTCTCAGATATAGGCTCAGACAGGATAGAGCTAGTGAAGGAGATGGCGCTACACCCAGATGGGGTGCGTGAGTGGCCCATGTGGGCCGCGTACAGGCCGGGGATCCCCCCAATGCTGGAAGTCTGTGAGGCAATGGAGGGGTACTCGGCCACTTCCTTCTCCACAGCCAAGACCATCTCGTTGTAGGCCTCTCTGGCGGCGGCTGTCAGGGATATCAGGCTGTTGTACTTTGGCTGGAGAATTTAAAGACAAAATTTGTTAATATGGGATTTTCTAATATGAGGCTGATGTACTTTGGCTGGAGAATTTAAAGACAAAATTTGTTAATATGGGATTTTCTAATATGAGGCTGATGTACTTTGGCTGGAGAATTTAAAGACAAAATTTGTTAATATGGGATTTTTTAATATGAGGCTGTTGTACTTTGGCTGGGGAATTTAAGACAAAATTTGTTAATAAGGGATTTTTTAATATGAGGCTGTTGTACTTTGGCTGGGGAATTTAAAACAAAAATTATTAAAACAGGATTTTCTAATATGAGGCTGATGTACTTTGGCTGGTGAATTTAAGGCAAAATTTGTTAAAATAGGATTTTCTAATATGAGGCTGATGTCCTTTGGCTGGAGAATTTAAAGACAAAATTTGTTAATATGGGATTTTCTAATATGAGGCTGATGTACTTTGGCTGGAGAATTTAAAGACAAAATTTGTTAATATGGGATTTTCTAACATAAGGATGTTGTACTTTGGCTGGGGAATTCAAGACAAAATTTGTTAATAAGGGATTTTCTAACATAAGGATGTTGTACTTTGGCTGGGGAATTTAAGACAAAATTTGTTAATATGGGATTTTCTAATATGAGGCTGTTGTACTTTGGCTGGGGAATTTAAGACAAAATTTCTTAAAATAGGATTTTCTAATATGAGGCTGATGTACTTTGGCTGGGGAATTCAAGACAATTTGCTGGGGAATTTTAAACAAAATTTGTTAATATGGGATTTTTTAACATAAGGCTGTTGTACTTTTGCAGGGGAATTTAAACAAAATTAATTCATGTGCGATTTTTTTAACAAGAGACAGTTATACCTTTGCTGGGGAATTCAAGACAAAAAAAAATTTATTCAAGTCGGATTTTCTAACATGAATGGTAATATTGACATAAAGTGTTATTTCATCATCCAAGATAGACCTAGTACATAATAGTTTTTGTAAAAGCTGAATATTTTTATCCACACAGGATCCGAACCTACCACTCCACACTTTAGTAACACCAGTATTTTACTATTGGCAGTAAAGGTAAACAGTAAAAGTAAAGAAACCCTAACAGAACAGACAGTAATTGGACAGGTGAAGTAGAGTTTACCTGTATTCTATCAGGTTAGTAGCCATGCAATCTGTCACCTATCAACACAGGTAGCCAGTTTAGAGATAACAATCTGCCCCCTATAGTTAAAGGCCAAAACTACACTGTCCCACAATGTAACAAGTTTAGAGCATAACAATCTGCCCTCAATAGTTACAGGCCAAAACTACACTGCCCCACAATGCAACAATCTGCCCCTATGGTAAAAGGCCAAAACTACACTGCCCCACAATGCAACAATCTGCCCCTATGGTAAAAGGCCAAAACTACACTGCTCCACAATGCAACAATCTGCCCCTATAGTTAAAGGCCAAAACTACAGTGCCCCACAATGCAACAATCTGCCCCTTATAGTTAAAGGCCAAAACTACACTGCCCCACAGTGCAACAATCTGCCCCTTATAGTTAAAGGCCAAAACTACACTGCTCCACAATGCAACAATCTGCCCCTATAGTTAAAGGCCAAAACTACAGTGCCCCACAATGCAACAATCTGCCCCTTATAGTTAAAGGCCAAAACTACACTGCTCCACAATGCAACAATCTGCCCCTATAGTTAAAGGCCAAAACTACAGTGCCCCACAATGCAACAATCTGCCCCTTATAGTTAAAGGCCAAAACTACACTGCTCCACAATGCAACAATCTGCCCCTATAGTTAAAGGCCAAAACTACAGTGCCCCACAATGCAACAATCTGCCCCTTATAGTTAAAGGCCAAAACTACACTGCTCCACAATGCAACAATCTGCCCCTATAGTTAAAGGCCAAAACTACAGTGCCCCACAATGCAACAATCTGCCCCTTATAGTTAAAGGCCAAAACTACACTGCCCCACAATGCAACAAACTCACCTCACAGCCCTCGTAGTTGAAGATCCCAACCACACTGACCGGCACCAACTTGGCACAAGCTCGACCCAGGGCCCGCCTCCCCAAAGCAAAAACAAAAGGAACAGACTGGTCTTGGCACATGTTCAAGATATTGTTCAGTGCTTCATCCAGGCCCCCTGGGAGGTTGAATTAAAGAAACAAAATTTAGTTCTACATTTTATTAAAGCTAAGTCATTTCTATATTTAATTAAAACAAAATTTAGAACACAAAAATATGGATAATTGATAATTTTACTGATATTGAAAGAAATTCAGGTAAGTAAGGAAAAAAGTTATATTTTTTAAAAGAGAAAGAAACATCATAGGGAAGATATTTTTGGTGGAAAGTGTAGTTATTTTTTTCCAACTTAAGGAGTTAATATTAAGTAAAAGCAACTATGATTAACTTTCAGATCAATATTAATATATAAGCAAGCATCAGTGGGATGGGAGGGAGGGGAAGTATTTTATTGCAATATAAGCTTTGAATACATTAGGCACGTTAATACAAGTACATTACATGCCAATCAGAAATCCCAACAGACTAATAGTCATAACTTGATAAGCTGTATTATATATAATATTTTAAAATGCTTCAAAATGTTAACAGATATACTTTGAGCTTATTTAAAATAGTGTTTTACTACCTTTTGACTGGATTTTCTCCAAATTTGGTGAGATGACCACACATTTGATTTTCTTCAGCTTCAGGTGTTTGGTTACCTCCCTTAGTCCCAGAACAACTCTTCTCTTTGTTTTAGCCTGTGGGGAATAAAAATAATTTAAACACATTAGAATATTATTGTGCCATTTTTATTTATGTAGGGAATGATTTCACAATGAATTAATAAAGAAATACTAAGAGGTTCTTAAAATGCGGATTTGTACTTTTGGATCTGGATGCAGAAAGGATTTTTCCTGCTTGTATCACATTTATAGTCAGGGTTAGGATGAGGGTCATGATAATGGTAATGGATAGGGTTAGGGTAGCACAACAAGGTTTTGATATAATTGACCAGTATAATTATTAACTCCTATAAATTGTTTTTTTTTTCTAAAACTGTTTTATGCTTATTTTTAAAAATATTTTTGTTAAATCACTAGTGAAAAAAAAACTTTGTTGAAGCTTTTCAAAAAAATATTTGTGTTTGATCACTTGAAGAAAAAGTGTTTGTATCACTAAAAGCGTATTTTATCCATATCATGTCAAGTATGTTTTCACCTTGACCGGGTCTTTGTGATACATCCTGTCTTGAAACTTGACCAAGTCCTGCAGCAATGACGTACAGCACTGGTCAATATCCTTGTCCAGAATCTGAGTGCAGTACCTGGAAAATGGTTTGTACATTTGGATAAGCCATTAAAAATATAAGGGGAAATAAATCTAAAAAACACCTAGAGTTGTGTTCGAGTTCTCTAATCTGTCTACATTTCTTTCACAAAAGAATGTGTACATTTTTTATTTTATGAGGTGCCTTGTAAAGCAAACATAACACAGGCCATAGGAATTGCACAACATATTTGTAAAAATACCTAAAATATTTAGAACACTGTCATTTTTGTAGTCTTTATCACAATTCTTTGGCAAATGATATCTGGACATATAATCTCAGGTCAAAAGGTCTATAGAACAAAATTGATCTCACCAACAACAAAAAAATCTCAGAACAAAATACATCAGGAAAAAAAAATATCATGGACTAAATATCTCACTGCAAAATATTTACAGTTATTGAAATTGTCAGAGATCATTTGTCCTGAGATGCTTAGTCCTGTCACTCTTTATCACTTATAGTGGAATAAAAGCACCAGAGCCACATTACATAACGAAAAAGTCTCTTTAAATAACACCAACACTATAAAACCAATACTTACTCTCTAAACCTGCGGCTGTGTATCTTCATGACAACAGGATCCCTACCAATAGACCCAGTGATGGGGGAGTTCACCCCGGAGTTTCCAGGGGAGGCTGGCGACATTGAAATAGGGGATGTCTGGCTGATGGGAGATAAATCTGCTGATAATTCAGCTGCTCCGCTTCCATCCCCTCCGTCTGTACCCTCAGATTTTGAACTCAGAGCTAAAAAAATAAAAAAAAAAAAGGTAAAATTGTATATACATTTTATTTTTTTGTCTAAATGATTGAAGAGCATATACAAACTAGAAACATTGTATCTTGCCAACACTATCATTTAATTTGTGTTATGTGGAAGATTATTGGCGAAACATAAAATTCCAAGCTTTAGACAGCTGGGGAAAAAATAAGCACAATTTAAGTGAGCTGGTTAATTGTGCTGGTGTACTTATTAAAAAAAACCCACAGATTTAAACAGTCTATACAAAGGTAAAGTATCTTTGAAAAAAAAATGACAACTGTTGCGTATTAAACTAAACTGTACTCACCATCCTGGCTTAGCTCACTTTCTCCTCCAACAATGCCAACACCAGGTACACCACTGGGGAATTACATTGACAAAAATTAGTTACATCTCAAAAAATGAGTTTTGTTTGTTTGTTTTTGTTTTTTATATACATCATCAGTTTTTAACTTACAGGTGTTTATTTTGTGGAAGCTTAAATTTATTTTTATTTGAAACTATTTGTAATTAAAATATTGGCCATCACAAAGCTGTATTAAAAACGCAAATTCAATAACTATATCATTAAATCCTTCTAAGTAAAATTAGCATGTCAACTAAGTCACTTAATCAAATCCAGTCTATACAGAAATAGAAATTAAATACCCGCCTGACTAAATCCGACCACTCACATGACTCTTGAAAAAAAATTTGACCACATACCTGACCTGAATTAAATCTAAAAAAAAAAGTTAATATCTGACCCCTCACCTGACTGATTCGAATCTTAAGAAATCTGAACAGAACCAGTCTGACTCATGTCTAAGACTTTTATGACTTTACCCCTCTCCCCCCTCCAAGGTGGAGAATTGACGTGGGAGTAATATCAGGCTCCCGTCTGACTCGAATCTTAAAGTAACCTGAGCACTCACCCAACTGAATCAAGCCCTGTAGCAGAATCAGGGTCCTCATCCAGCAGTCTCAGCCTCTTCTTCTGTTCCCTCTCCTTCAGGATAACCTTCTTCAAAGGACTGGGCTTCTTGGCCTTCCCATTCTCCCTTTCCTTGCCCCTTTTTTGTACAGGGGCTGAGGAGTCCAGGATGTTGCCAGGTAAACCAACACTGCCAGTCCTTTCCTTCTTCCCTCCCTTGTTTATGTTGCCAGATGGTGTGACGTGTTTGTTTGTCAGTGACCCAGTAGCAGTTGTTGCAGGTTTTTTCTAAATGTAATGAATTGTTTTAAATGAAATGTTTTAATGAATAACTTAGATCATCAGGCAATGGCTACACACCCTACATGTTTCTGGTTATTATTTTTAATTTAACTAGTTGTTTTTTTTTATAATTAATTCCCTAAAATTTAATCAAGCTATTCTAGATAAAAAAATTGTTTTGACGTCAAAAGACGATTTTTTATTATTTTTTAGAAATTCCGTATATGAAACATTAGAATTCTTTTGAGCAAAAAATAAATACATTGAAGAGCCTAGGGCTAAAAGCACCAAAGTCAAATTTTTGTGGAAATTGAAGTAAGCAATGGCCTTTATTCCTATAGCTTTTGATTCATCTAATGCAAATATTAATGTCAAAGTCCCTCTTTTAAACAACCATAAAAAATTAATTAAAATATTCAAAATAAATTGTTATAAAACCAATTTGAATTTGAGAACTTTCATAATCTCAAAATGTTTATTTTGTGACTTTAATTACTAATAGCAAGCAATAAGGTCTTCAATTTTTATTTTAGAACAAGAAAAAAGATAAATACAAATAAACCTACCTGTATGGCATCAATCATGGCAGCTATGTCCAGCGCCATCGGCTGCTGAGATTTCTTCCCTCCTGCACCTTTACCTTGCTTCTTGGCCTCGCTGACCACAGCAGTGTTGGTGATGACACCAGGGATGGGTTTGCCACTCAGCGTGTGATTGGCTGATTTTTTAAGCCCCACCTCCTTCAGCCACTGCTGCTCCAATGAGATTTCAGCTAACTCCGCCTCTGCTGCCTTATTGGCTTGTTCCCTTCTCTTTCTCCTCTTCCGTGCTTTTTTTGATTCGTTGGTTGTACCTGAAACATATTATTTGGATTCATAAAGAAAAAATATAGTTGTTACCCTATTGAACCTGAAAGTTCATAGGTCAAATGAAGTAGAGTTCAACTGTGTCTGTGACCTATGTATTTAAAATGAAGGAATAGTGATCAGCACTATGCCCAGCCGTCTTAACTTTCCATTATATAGGTCAGGTACCTATCACGACTGGGTGGACTCAGGCAATGTTCCCTCTAAGGGAAAAAAGTTAGTGTGCAACGTGTATTTTGTGTGCGCGGTGTTCTAAAAGTCTTATACAAGGATATAAGTATTTTACAAAATCACTGCGCGGCAGCTTAGGGGGAACATTGGACTCAGGGATGTCCTACAGACTCTCACCCGGGATCTGAGCTCTAGACTTTTGGATTAGCAGCCTAGCACTCTACTGTTCGACCATGCTATCCCATAATATATTTATTTAATTGCCGTAATCTTTGTAACATGAGAGAGGGATACAACTAAAAGTCCAAAATTGTTCTTTATTTTTTTAAACATAATAAAGTATTGCATGACAAATGCAACATTACAGCCTGATACTGTTGACTTCAGCTTTGATTTACATATGTGCTTCCATAGCCTCAGTTCAATGAAAAGCATCTTCAAGGCATCAGGTTTTTTGAGAGATTTATCCTAGAAGATATGGTGACCCCCCCTCCCCAGAGGCGTAGCAACCCCTCCCGGCGCCCCAGGACAAACCTTCAATTTAGCACCCCCCATATATTTTTTATAGTTATAATTCAAAATAGCAGCTAAAATGAGTTTATTTTGGCACCCCTAGATTCAGCCCCGGGGACATGTGTACCCCCCCCCACCATAGCTACATCTACATACTGATTTTCACCCTCATGTGAGAGGGCCCCCCCCCCACTCACCTGTGTGACAACTGGCATCATCCTCATCCCCAGACACACATGAGCCTGTCATAGCCCCCCCCCCCACACACACCTAACTCACCTGTGTGACAACTGGCATCATCCTCATCCCCAGACACACATGAACCTGTCATAGCCCCCCCCCCCCCCACACACACACCTAACTCACCTGTGTGACAACTGGCATCATCCTCATCCCCAGACACACATGAGCCTGTCATAGCCCCACCCCCCCCCCCCCACACACACAACTAACTCACCTGTGTGACAACTGGCATCATCCTCATCCCCAGACACACATGAACCTGTCTTAGCCCCCCCCCCCCCCCCACACACACCTAACTCACCTGTGTGACAACTGGCATCATCCTCATCCCCAGACACACATGAGCCTGTCATAGCCCCACCCCCCCCCCCCACACACACAACTAACTCACCTGTGTGACAACTGGCATCATCCTCATCCCCAGACACACATGAGCCTGTCATAGCCCCACCCCCCCCCCCCACACACACAACTAACTCACCTGTGTGACAACTGGCATCATCCTCATCCCCAGACACACATGAGCCTGTCATAGCCCCCCCCCCCTCCCACACACACACCTAACTCACCTGTGTGACAACTGGCATCATCCTCATCCCCAGACACACATGAGCCTGTCATAGCCCCACCCCCCCCCCCCCCACACACACAACTAACTCACCTGTGTGACAACTGGCATCATCCTCATCCCCAGACACACATGAGCCTGTCATAGCCCCCCCCCCTCCCACACACACACAACTAACTCACCTGTGTGACAACTGGCATCATCCTCATCCCCAGACACACATGAGCCTGTCATAGCCCCACCCCCCCCCCCCACACACACAACTAACTCACCTGTGTGACAACTGGCATCATCCTCATCCCCAGACACACATGAGCCTGTCATAGCCCCCCCCCCCCCCACACACACCTAACTCACCTGTGTGACAACTGGCATCATCCTCATCCCCAGACACACATGAGCCTGTCATAGCCCCACCCCCCCCCCCCACACACACAACTAACTCACCTGTGTGACAACTGGCATCATCCTCATCCCCAGACACACATGAGCCTGTCATAGCCCCACCCCCCCCCCCCACACACACAACTAACTCACCTGTGTGACAACTGGCATCATCCTCATCCCCAGACACACATGAGCCTGTCATAGCCCCCCCCCCTCCCACACACACACCTAACTCACCTGTGTGACAACTGGCATCATCCTCATCCCCAGACACACATGAGCCTGTCAAAGACTGGGTTCTACTCTGACTGCCAGCTTTAGAAAATGTCTACAGGAAAAGAATGCATTTTTATTATAATCGGACATTAAAAAAACGTGTATAACTTTTGGTATACTTATCAAGATAGAGAATCAAAATTTAATTAACACTATAAATAAGGCTATATTAAACCAGAGGATAGGATAGATATTTATCTTGCTGCTATAATGGTAAACTATGTAAAGCTGTATAGGGGGGTGGGGGTGGAGGGCATAATTAAGTTTTTTGTGTCAGTCTTCTTCTTCTTCGTTCTTAATTATTAGTGTTGAAGGGGATCGAGATTTATCTGCCAGTGGGTTTGAACTCGAGACTTTTTGTTTGAATTTATCAACCATGAGCTTTTTGCCAACTCGACCACGCCTCCAACACAATTAAGCGTTACGTGTCAACTGGTTATGCGCCATTGAGGCCATTGACTCCGATTTCAGCCTGCTTTTTTTTTGGATTTGCTTCCATAGCCTTTGTCCAACCAAGAACAAACTACAAGGCAGCAGTTGTTTAATTTTGGAGTTGTCTCTCCTAGAAGAGTGGCTGTCCCCAGCTAACGAGCCTCATCTGCCCCAGGGTTCGAACTCGAGACTTTTCAGTTTAGCAACCATTAGCTTTACCAACTCGACCACGCCGACGCTCTTTGTGTCAGTAATTTTAACTAGTATTAAAAAGTAACAATCTTGCAGAAACTTTTTATGCGTCCCAAAAGTTATAGTCTAACATAGTGAAGTAAACTTTTAATAAATCTGTATTACCAACGTGTATAAACTGCAAATAACTGTTTAGTAAATCTGAATAAACTACAAATAACTGTTAAAATAAATGTGTATAAACTACAAATAACAATTAACTAAATGTTCAGAATCTACAAGAAAATGAAGTCATTCTAAAAAAAATAAACAATGACTTACTGACTTAATGATGTCACTGTAGGTCACCGAAGTACCTGAAAGGGTTGACCTCTCACCTCCAACGACCCCATCTTCACCAAAAGCTCGGGTCGACGCAGGAAGCAGGTCGGGGAACTCGTCAACATCCTCAAAATGCAGCGTTGTCTCCGACACGCTCGAGTTGAGCGCAGACTGCTCCGACGACGGGCCACCCCCCGCCTCACCCTCGTCATCACCTTTCTTTGACCGATTCCTTCTCCTCCTCCTCCGAGTTTTCTTCTTCTTCTCAGGGTCGACATCTTCAGGGTTACCCTGAGTCTCGTCCGGCTGGTCTTTGTTTTTCTGGACGGCTGGTTTGGTTACGTGATTGTCTGATTGTCTATTTATAGATGCGCCTGTGGGGACAGGCTGCCTGGAAGGGATGTAACTGCTTGGAGGTTTTTTAGCTGCCATGCTGTAGTTAATACTTGTGCTGTTTTTAGACTGAAAACAAGGGTGTGGGACTTGATCCACTGGGAACTGTGAGACAACTCCGTACGAGACAGGGGGAGGCTGACTGGTTATTGCCCCTGTGAAGTAAGGATAAGGCGGGTTGGGGAGCATGGCGTATGGAGGCGTGGTAAAAGGCGGAGTGTTGTAAGTCTGAGCTGGAGTCATCCCCCTTTGTGCTAGGAAATTCACTCCAGGGGGGAAAACTCCTGGGGGCGGTACACCTTTGAGTGCTGCCCCCTGTGTGATGTTTGCATAGGACTGTAGAGAAGGTCCGTGGAGGATAGAAGATGGCGGTGGTGGTGGCATGTTGAGGTTTACTGTCAGGTGTGTCGGAACTGTTGGCGCCACTGGAATAAAAGTTTTTAATAAGCTTTTGATAAATGATTAACATACAAGTATTACCACTCAGTCAAATGCAATGTCTTCTCATAGCTAAAAGATAAAATGAACAAGCTTTTATTTAGACTAATCAAACAGGTTTAAAATTGTTTTGGTTGAAAAGTGTGTACATGAGATACAACATCTTAAACCTTTGTTAATTAAACAGTTAATGTTTAAATTAACTAAATCTAAGAACATATACTGTAATGGGAACTTATAAGTTTAGCCCTGGCGGTTTAAAAAGTAGAATGACATAAAAATATGTTATAAGTTTCTCCTTCCCTCCTCCCAATTACTCTTTTTCTATGTATGGGTTCCAAATCCTCCACTAAATTTTTCTAAGTACCAAGTTTTTATGTATATTAAACGGATATGTTCATTCAAATAGACACATCTGCCACCTAACCCAGCCTTATTGGATCTAAAACCAAAAAAACTTGATAAAGAAGGTAGATATTTACCTGTGAATTTAGCTCCTGTGTTTGCACTTGCAACCATGTGACTGCAGCAGACAAGCCCACCTGTGCTATATTTACCTGCCGGGTCACTGGTAAACTGCGCTGACCCGCTGTCCGTGCCCCCACACCTGTTTAGTTCATGAGACGAGGTCTCCTTACCCTTTGTTTTGTTACCCGCAGCGGGGTCGCGACCTTTAAAAGACGAGCGCCCAGCTTTGGCGTGGCTGGAGGTGAGCGTGGGCGTGGCTGAGTTTGTTGTCATGGTGACGGAGGTGGTGACGGACGACACGACGGACGACGACATGGAGGAGGTTGAGGATTTGGTGCTGACGGCTAAGACAGTTTGTTCCCTGAGGCCAATACCAGGGATATCAACACTCTGTTGACCACCGGACCCTTTCTTGCGGTCAAGTTTACCGGCTTTATTTACACCATGACCAGTTTTACTTACAACAGAGGAGTTGTAGTTCACATTGGGGGAAGCAGAACTCGCCTTGGCTGTGGGGCTGAAGACTGGCATGGCGTCGGAGCCGGACATTAGGACGGACAACTCCTGGTCTAAACCTGGCCGAAAGTTCCGCCCAATGTTCCCCCAGGCGGCCGACTGCTCTGAAGTTCCTTGCTGGTCCGACGAAGACGCTGATAACAAATTTTGTTCCTTCTCGCCACTAGATGACCTGCTCCTGCCCGATCTTGTTTCCTCCATGCTGAATTTGATTGACCACGGGGGTTCATGCGCAGAGCGCTCGATAGTTAAAGGAACCCGCTCGTCTAAGTTAAGAGGGGGTGTAGATTTAAAACCGGAAGAGGAGGAAGTAGAAGGGCCCCTAGACAACATGGGAGGAAAATCTGTCCAAGAATGCAGATCAATTTTTTCATCGTCGTCATCTTGCCTGGTGCCGGACGACGAGACGGACGACGACGACCTCGACAACAGTTTTGTATTCGCTCCCAGAAGCCTCGGCGACCTGACACCGTCTCTAAGACTCTTCTTCTTCCTACTCTCAGACCCAGAGATTTCAACCCGGATCTTCTCCCCGGACTTGAACTTTAACTTCCCTGACCTCTCTTTAGAACCGCTGTCTGTGCCAGATTTTTTAACCTGGTTTTCCCTCTGCTGGGGATCAGATCTCTTCCCACTGTGTTTGCTGGGACCACTCTCCTCTGGTGGGGCCCCTGTGGTGAGCAAGTTTTCAGGGTGGACCTGAATGCCAAGGTTCACGTAATTTGATTGGTGGAGTGGACTGCTGTAGCCACTGTCAGAGTCCTGGTCCCCTACAAACAAAAAAAAAAAAACATTTGTTGATTTCAATTACAATAGCTACAGACTGGAATTTGAAATAAAAAATCTTTGCACATTGGGAGTACTATAAACACTACTAGATTTTAATAGAAATAAGCACTGCGCATTAGGATTCCAATACAGACTAGATTTTAATAGAAACAGGGACATTGGGAGTATTTTAATATAGAATATTATACACAAACAAAGCACAATGCGAGCGCTATAAACACTGAGTAGTATTTAATAGAAACAAGTAAATTGGGTGTAATTTAAATAGAGACTAGATTTTAATATCAACAATGTCTAGACTTTGATAGAAACAAGTATTGTATTTTGAAATTCCTAAAAATGCAGACTTAATTTAAAATAATATGTCATTGAACAAAGCATCTAATTTACCTGTAATATTTTTACCAATTAAAAAAAAACACCTAACGTATTTTATCAACAATATTTCAACAAACAAAAACACAGCCAGTCCGTTTCACCAGTCTGAGTTCAACTAACCAAAAAAACCACCTCACATATTTTACTTACATATCAAGTAACCAAAAAACCACCTGTCAGTTTTAACAGTCTAATTTCAACTAACCAAAAAACCACCTGTCAGTTTTAACAGTCTAATTTCAACTAACCAAAAAACCACCTGTCAGTTTTAACAGTCTAATTTCAACTAACCAAAAAACCACCTGTCAGTTTTAACAGTCTAATTTCAACTAACCAAAAAACCACCTGTCAGTTTTAACAGTCTAATTTCAACTAACCAAAAAACCACCTGTCAGTTTTAACAGTCTAATTTCAACTAACCAAAAAACCACCTGTCAGTTTTAACAGTCTAATTTCAACTAACCAAAAAACCACCTGTCAGTTTTAACAGTCTAATTTCAACTAACCAAAAAACCACCTGTCAGTTTTAACAGTCTAATTTCAACTAACCAAAAAACCACCTGTCAGTTTTAACAGTCTAATTTCAAGTAACCAAAAAACCACCTGTCAGTTTCACCTGTCTAATTTCAAGTAACTAAAAAACCACCTGTCAGTTTCACCTGTCTAATTTTAAGTAACCAAAAAACCACCTGTCAGTTTCACCTGTCTAATTTCAAGTAACCAAAAAACCACCTGTCAGTTTCACCTGTCTAATTTCAAGTAACCAAAAAACCACCTGTCAGTTTCACCTGTCTAATTTCAAGTAACCAAAAAACCACCTGTCAGTTTCACCAGTCTAATTTCAAGTAACTAAAAAACCACCAGTCAGTTTCAAATGTCTGATTTCAAGAGACAAAAAAACCACCTAACCTATCATCCCCCTGTGTGTGCCGTCAGCATTGACCCCTGCCTTGCTGGCGTCATACAAGGGGTGGGGTTTGTCTTTGAGTGACGACTCTGAGACACCAGACGTGAATTCTGTTTGGGAGGATCTGCTGATCATAACAGGAGACGTGGGTCTGGCGCCATTTTTCTTTGGAAGGGATGCACTTGTCACTGTCTTGCTTGTACTGACCTGCATGTGTATGTAAAGTTGTTAACTTTTTTTATTCACTGAACAGAATTAAATAATGGCAATAGCACAGGTATCCCAACCTTTTTTTAGATAGTGATCTCCCCTTTTCATAAAACTCAAATGACCAGCGAAACCAATTGAAAAAGGCATAGTTAACACCATATAACTGCATTATAGAGAATATTTTTTTAGGTTTACTGTACAAGTTGGCAACCTCATTGACAAACTGCTGCTACATCCTTGACCCCTTAGGGTACACAATCAATAAGTTGGGAACCTGGGGCCTCAAATTTTTTTAAAGACAAGAGTTCAATCAACTGGTTTTTCTAGCTGCATAGATAAACAAGACTATGTAAAAAAAATTTACTGTGATTTAAGATCTCAAGGTGTAGGTGTGGGAGAGTTCATGTATATGTGAATACAGCATTCAAAGGAAATGCCTGTGGTTAGCAGCCTCACATTACTTAACCCACATGCTGTTAGAATGGCATGCCCGGATGGTAGAGCGTATAACTACCAATCCAAAAGTCTTGAGTTCTGATCCCAAGCTTGAGTCTGTAGGACACCAGATTCCACCCAGCTCTAATAGGCACCTGACTCACATTATGTAAAGCAAAGGCGGCTGGGCATAGTGCTGACCATACTATCTCTTCATATGTCAATGTCAAAGAAACAGGTGTACTCTACTTCATATGCCCAATGGACTGACAGATGCAAAAGGGTAACTTAACATAATATGCTCTTAATAAAGTTCCCTTTCAAACCTGACAGTCGGCGAGGCTGTTCACTTCTTTCTGTGACCTTGGCATATGAAGGGATAATGTGGTCAGTGGTCAATCAGTGGTCATTATCATAACGTGAGTTAGGTACCCATCAGAGTTGTGTGGACTCAGGGACTCAGGGACGGTCTACTGACTTGAATCTGGATCCGAACTCAATATTTACGGGTTAGCAGTCCAGCTCTCTATGTCTAGGCCACTCCATCCCATTTGCTCTTACTTTTGCAGATTTTAGTCTGAACTTTATTAAAGCCAGGCTTAATGATTAACCATGCCACCACCCACAATGCATTTAACAGCAATTGCTTTCCACTAGCCACATAATAACCTCAACTTACAGCCATAGTGCTAGAAGGTATGGAACCTGTGGCTAGCATGACAGGCGCCTGCGACAGGTAATGCTGCTGCAGGTGCGGTTGATGCTGCAGGTAGAGGGGTGCGGAGCCCAGGAGCCAGGTAGCCATTGGATCTGACTGGGAGCCTAAGACCAAGTTCTGGCCAGGTATATGACCCACTGGCAGGCCAAGTCTTTGGTTGTGCATTACATTGTCACCTGTAAACAAAAAAATGTCCAATGTTATGAAATCTCCAAAATCAAACAACTGCTGCCTTGTAGTTTGTTCTTGGTTGGACAAAGGCTATCTAAGCAAATCCAAAAAGAAAAGCAGGCTGAAATTGGAGTCAATGGCCTCAATGGCGCATAACCAGTTGCTCGAGTCGGCAAAAGCTCATACTTGATAAATTCGAAAAAAGTCTCGAGTTCAAACCCTCTGGCAGATAAAGCTCGATCCCTCCCAACACTAAAAATTAAGAACGAAGAAGAAGAAGAAGATGAAATTAAATTTTTACAGTTGATCAAACTATGAAAATGTTATGATTGTAATATCTACAGGCAGAAAGCTGAAGAAACAAGTCTATAGAACAAAATATATATTAAAATTTAAAAAAAACAATAGGAAATCAATAAGTTTTGAAATTTTTATGTTGGCCATCAAAAGAACTAAATTCAGTTAAAGCTTTATATAAGAGTAGAGTATGACTAAAGTACTATATATGATCCTTAAGACATCTTGCTAATGCACGATGTTTATTATTGCTTAGTATGGCAGGCCAGTCAGCGTAAATATTTTAGCTACTGCACTATTCCAATCGGCCAGGTAATTAGTATGCCAGGATAATCAACACTTCTGACCAGTAAATCTTCAATTGACCCATTAATCTTCTATTTACTACACTATTCTTATTGGTGTTGAGTATGGCATGCCAGTCAGTATAATTTGACCCATAAATCGTTTAGCTACTGCACTATTCCTATTGGTGTCTACTATGGCAGGCCACTCGGCAAAATTTGACCTCTATCACAATTCCAGCATTAAGGCTAAGACAGAATGTATACCCTTATATCCCAATTATTGCGTAATCTTCAGCCTGCATTAAAACCATGTTTCACTATTACCTCAGAACCCCTTTTATACACACACAAATTTCTTCAAGCATGCTGTTTTTAAAACTAATTGTTATTATTTTTATCAAACAGTTTTTATTGATATCTTTTTTATAACAATGTAGTGTGTACACTGGTCTCTCAAGCAGCTATCAGCCGCCCAATGCAAGCCCAGGACTAACAACACATACCCTGTATTCATCAAGACAAAAGACAATTGACAAAAAAAATATTTCTTATTCTCATTGTGTTTTTAACTACTCATGTAATGTATGTAGGCTAAAGTATTTTCTTAACACAAACCTACATTACCTGTGTCTGGGGGTATAAAAAATAAATTTCAATTATTTTAAAAAAAACTTAGTGTGTTGTAACAGTAAATGATTAATTTTTTTTTTAAATTATCACTAAAGATAGCACGAACAAGCTTTACAATATTTTTTTTTTCTTTTTAATAAAACCAAGTGTTAAAACTAAAAAAAAAAAGAGCATGGGCAGGTAATCAATATTGATCTCAGGAGATCAATAAACCAGCTAGAGTTTGTGTCAGGTTGTTGTAGAAGACTGGTTCATTATCAACTGAGGCTATGCTGAGAAAGGCCCTGGTGCTCCAAGCTTTATGCATAGCATTAGTAAAGGTTCTTGATGAAGGGAGAGGTAAAAAAAAAAAGAACAGAAAGGGCAAACCCATGCTTGGAGAAAAAAAAATTGTATTACAAAAAAAAAATCTTTTTAAAAAAAATGTATTATAAAAAAATATTTTAAAAGATTAATTATTACAAGGTGTTATTGAAGTACTCTTGCTAATGGTTCTAATACCCTTTTCAAATTTTTCTAATAAACCATTTTTTCCCAAAGAAAGTAAATTCAATGAGAGTTTAATTATATGTTTGAGATAGATAACAAGCTACCCTTAAAATAACTTGGCCTGCACACAAACATTCACACAAAGACTACACAGCATTAAACCCATGCACACTAGAAAATGAACTGCAAAATTTTATGTGACCACTAAGGAAGCCGGATATTGAAGAGTTATTTTTAAAGTCTATAACTATAACAATATTGAAGAGTTATTTTTAAAGTCTATAACTATAACAATATTGAAGAGTTATTTTTAAAGTCTATAACTATAACAATATTGAAGAGTTATTATTTTTAAAGTCTATAACTATAACAATATTGAAGAGTTATTTTTAAAGTCTATAACTATAACAATATTGAAGAGTTATTATTTTTAAAGTCTATAACTATAACAATATTGAAGAGTTATTATTTTTAAAGTCTATAACTATAACAATATTGAAGAGTTATTTTTAAAGTCTATAACTATAACAATATTGAAGAGTTATTATTTTTAAAGTCTATAACTATAACAATATTGAAGAGTTATTATTTTTAAAGTCTATAACTATAACAATATTGAAGAGTTATTTTTAAAGTCTATAACTATAACAATATTGAAGGGTTTTTGTTTAAGTCTATAACTATAACAATATTGAAGAATTATTTTTAAAGTGTATAACTATAACAATATTGAAGAGTTATTTTTAAAGTCTATAACTACAACAATATTGAAGAGTTATTTTTAAAGTCTATAACTATAATAAAGTAAATGTAAGATAAAACAAGGTGTCACAAAATGTTATAAACATTTTATGGTAATAATTCAGCTTTAAGGCTACACTAACTTTAACCACAACTTTAATGACAGATTCATTCCTCAAATGTCCTTCAAAAATAACCAATCATACTGTAGTTATGCTTTCAGAATGATTATGAGTATTATACAAACTATGGTAATCTTTTTAGCATTTTTAGCAAACAATACAATTATTAAAAAAAAATAAAACTTAGATTAACTCAAAGCTGATGAAGATTATCATAACAATAGCATGAATAATAAAATAAGTAATGATAATAAGTCAAACTGTATTATTTAAAAAAATATGTTTTTTCAGCTTTTTGTTAGTTAGAGATAGTGCACACATACATAATAAAAAAAGAATATTTTGAATCATTACCTAGTTACGTAAAACAGACACCCCCCCCCCCTCCAAATATAACAAATCTAGAAACTACATATTCCCATAAATATAACATAGAACAAGAAATGTTTGGAATGTTTTTATTAAATAACTCTCTCCAATATTACTGCTCACAACATATTCTTTTAGTAAGTATATTTAACTACCATTCCCAAGCATTTTCAGAAAAATAAAACGAAAATTTGGAAGAAAAATCAAATTAACAAAAGCGAAAGAGTTTTATAGCTTAGCTTTTGACAACCGTGGATCTTCTTATTTATTACATAATACGTAACAATTCCTGAGCTTATAAAAGATTTTAAAAACATTTTAGAAAAGACATTAAACACAGTGGGTTTAGCAAAAGACTTACCACTAAGTTTAGTCACATCCACAGAGTATGGTGGAGCTGACCCAAACGATGTGTATCCACTCATAAAATTGGCTGGCCAGTTGGGGAAGGACAGGGGGGCTTGACCAGGCAGTGATATACCGCCTGCATGAACATTTTTAATAAAATAATTACTCAACAAAAAATATTGATACAATTATAACTAAACTTGCAAAGAACAACAAAATTGATTTTTTTGTTAATATTCTACAAACCATGGATGGGTAAGATATATTCATTTATGCATAATTGCCCAAGCTTGTGTTCAGGATTTAATAAAATGGTGGTTCATATGTTTTAAGAAGGTGTCTGTTTTCTTAGAATTAGTGTGGTTTAGGTTTTAAAATTCCATTTAGGATAAAAGC